AGAATATCTAAGAGTCTTAACTTCGGAGAAATATTCAAAGATTTAGCCTTTCAGAAACAGGACATAGGAGGAATATCTATAATAAGTATCTGTGAGAACCGGTTATTGGTTTTAAGTGAAAGGTTTGGCAGAAAAGGGTATGTAGTGAGTCGTTAAACCGGTTCGTCAGTGACTAGGCGATTAGTGCATAGTGCTCATGGTAGCCTGTGTCTATATGAACTAAGTTATAATGATGTATAATGAAAATAAAATGTAAAACAAAATGAATAAAAATAATGAAAATATCAAACACATATAAACGCCCATAGATGGAACATAGAAAAGACGTGTTTATGTACGTATGTGTATTTGTTTGTCTTCTGAATTGCGTAGTTTTGTATACATAAACAAACACACACACACACACACACACAGGAGGACATCACGTGTGGTCGCTTAGCAACCATCTGGGCGGCGAGTCACTGACCTCAGCTGCCATTGGAGGTCAGAAGGGCGTCGGTCTGACCTTGTTGTTTACCAGAGTGTAACCCCAGAGGAAGTTTACGTCATTGCACCCCACCTTCCCAAGACCTTATGGGTGACCTCTCTCTCAACCCAGATAGAGGCCGGTTTCTCAAATCATCGTAAGGTAAAATTTCTCCCCTAACTGGTGATGTGAAAACTAATCTGATTCGCTCACTTAAGTTACGACAAAATGATAAAGAAAAAGGGATTCTAAGTTAATTCATCTACTCAGTACACACACACACACACACACACACACACACACACACACACAAGGTCACACTGTACATTAAACACGTTACACAGGTCGATGAATACATTAAGATGTGAAATACTCAGACAACAGGACGCCAGGTGCATCTTAAACAGGTAATTTGTTGATTGTTAGTTGTGTCAGGTATTTTTATATGTGTGTGTGTATGTGTGTGTGTGTGTGTGTTTTTTTGTGTCTGTCTGTCTGTCTGTGTTCAGGTGAGTCAATCAGGTAGGTTTCTATCTTATATATTAGAAATTATAGTAAAAATCTATTGAAATCTAGACCCCTAAGTCTAAAAAAACATCGTAAGACCATATTAACCCGTAATTAAAGATTCTGTGTTATAGTACAGTTAAAATTAACACCTTAATACATACTTAGGATCTATTTCACGTAAGATATTTTGTGAATCCATCTTTGTGTTATAGTTTAGGTTAGGTTAGGTTAGATACGTTCGTTCCAGTTATGCATCTACAGTTTAGGGAATATTTTAACTTACGAGCTTTTGAGAATTAGATTGATAGACCAGGTGAGTAGCGTATGTACCTGAGTCCTGAGGTTATAGGTAGAGAGTTTTTACGCCTGTGTGGCAATACTGATGGTAGTGGTTGTAGTATGGGTAGGGATGGTAGTAGTGGTGGTGGTGGTAGTGGTAGGGGTGGTAGTAGTGGTGTTGGTAGTGGTAGGGGTGGTAGTAGTGGTGTTGGTAGTGGTAGGGATGGTAGTAGTGGTGTTGGTAGTGGTAGGGGTGGTAGTAGTGGTGTTGGTAGTGGTAGGGATGGTAGTATGAGTGATTGTTGGTAGTAGTGGGATGGTAGTAATTGGTGTTGGTAGTGGTAGGGATGGTATTAATGGTGTTGGTAGTGGTAGGGATGGTAGTAGTGGTGTTGGTAGTGGTAGGGATGGTAGTAGTGGTGTTGGTAGTGGTAGGGATGGTAGTAGTGGTGGTGGTGATAGTGGTTGGGGATGGTAGTAATTGGTGTTGGTAGTGTGGTAGGGATGGTAGTAGTGGTGTCAGTGAGTGGTAGAGATGGTAGTAGTGGTGTTGGTAGCTGGTAGGGATGGTAGTAGTGGTGTTGGTGGTGTTGGGGATGGTAGTAGTGGTGTTGGTAGTGGTAGGGGTGGTAGTAGTGGTGTTGGTAGTGGTAGAATTGGTAGTAAGTGGTGTTGGTAGTGGTGCAGGGATGGTAGTAGTGGTGTTGGTAGTGGTAGGGGTGGTAGTAGTGGTGTTAGTAGTGGTAGGAGATTAGTGGTAGTAGTGGTGTTGGTAGTGGTAGGATGGTAATGCGTGGTGTTGGTAATGGTAGGGATGGTAGTAGTGGTGTTGGTAGTGGTAGGATGGTAGTAGTGGTGTTGGTAGTGGTAGGGGATGGTAGTAATGGTGTTGAGTAGTGGTAGGGGTGGTAGGGATGATAGTAGTAATAGTGGTAGTATTAGTAGTGGGTAGTGAAAGTAGTAGTGGAATTAGTAGTAGTATTAATTATAATCAGTATCTGGAGCAGTAATAGGGCTCAAGGCCATACAATCATTGCGTTACTGACCATGGCCACTTAGTGCACTATAAAATTAGAGGTTATTTGGTTTTGTTCTTTTCAAGGTTAAATCTATACAAGTTTATTATTATTATTAGTAGTAGTAGCAGCAAGTAACACATACACACACACACACATATACACACACACACACACACACACACACACACACACACACACACACACACACACACTCACTTTAAAACACTGTCTCAATCCTCGTCTTTCCAAATATACATCCATAATATTCCGTCTTGAACTTGCACCTTACACTGAGCAGTTCCAAACTACCTATACAAAAACAATATTTATTTTAGTTCCCCCACATACATATAACTATATATATATATATATATATATATATATATATATATATATATATATATATATATATATATATATATATATATACAAGAAATGTATGTATGTATGAGCAAGTTTCTTTACGCCATTTTGCCTCTGTCTACCCAGCAATGGTGGGAGCCTGGATGTTAATCGATTTGCGGATCGTGTTCGGGGTAATGGTTAACCCGTGCAGTTGACGAGTTGTCCGGTCTTCTCGGACTATTCCTTGACACTGGTCATCAGCTCGTTAATTGAAGGTGTGGTTGTTGTGTTGGCGACAGTTTCTACCTTAAACAAATTCACTAGGTGGCCCTTTGGGCCAGCCATCCCTCGTTACACGAGGGCAACCATTATTATGTATGTATGTATGTGTGTATGTATGTATGTATGTATGTATGTATAGATGTACATTGGTGTGGTGAAAAGAATCAGGTGTCATATTGCACACCTTCAGCACCCACATCAGTCAAACGTTCTTCCCACACCTTCTTTCTATATGTCTACTACACTTTTATATTTTCCTCCTCAACACCAGCGTAACTTCACCTTATTTCAACATTATGTTTAGTAGCATCAACGGCTTGAACATTCTTGCCTGGTTATAAATGTTTTACAAAGAATCATTATAATGTTTATAGAATGTTGATAGGAATTCCCAGGTGCCAAATTGTTATTTGGGTTCATGGATAGAGGTGGATGGATGGACGGATGGATGGATGGATGGATGGATGGATGGATATGGATGGATGGATGGACGGATGGATGGATGGATGGATGGATGGATGGATGGACGGATGTGGATGGATGTTGGATGGATTGGATGGATGGATGGACGGATGGATGGATGGATGGTTGGATGGATGTTGGATGGACGGATGGATGGATGGACGGATGGATGGATCATACCAGCTCTGTACCATAAACTGAATCCGTTGTTTAGAGATTCATCTTATGAATTGAGCACAAACAAAACACGGAGCACAGACAAACATACACGAACTGAACAAACACACAGACACGAACAAACACACAGACACAAACAAACACACGAACGAACTAAGCACACGAACACGAACAACACACACAGACACAGACTTAAACACACAGACACAAACAAACACACAGACACAGACAACACACAGACACAGACAAACACACAGACACAGACAAACACACAGACACAGACAAACACACGAACACAGACAAACACACAGACACGAACAAACACACGGAGCACGAACAAACACACAGACACAGACAAACACACAAGACACAAACAAACACACAGACACAGACAAACACACAGACACGAACAAACACACAGACACAGACAAACACACCAGACACAAACAAACACACAGACACAGACAAACACACAGACACAGACAAACACACAGACACAGACAAACACACAGACACAAACAAACACACAGACACAGACAAACACACAGACACAGACAAACACACAGACACAGACAAACACACAGGCCTGAACAACCTGACACAGACAAACACACGAACTGAACCAAACACACAATTTAAACAAACACAGAACTGACAAAGCACACAGACTGAACAAACACACAGGGCACGAACAAATACACACAATTTCAGACAAACACACAGACACAGACAAACACACAGACACAGACAAACACACGGGCAAACAAACACACAGGCACAGACAAACACACAGACACACACGAATAACACAGACACAGACAAGCTTTGGAACACAAACAAACACGAACTGGGCAAACACACAGGTACAGACAAACACACACAGACACAGACCAACACACAGACACAAAAACTAATTTTGAACTAAAACAAACACACAGGCTGAACAAACACAGACACAGAACCAAACACAGAGCACAACAAACACACAGACACACAGACAAACACACAGACACAGACAAACACGAACACAGACAACACACACAGACACACAAACAAACACACAGACGACAACACACAGACGCAGACAAACCACTTTTGAGCATGCAGACAAGAAACACACGAACACGAACCGACACACAGACACAGACAAACACACGAACACAGACAAACCACCACGGGCTGGCCAAACACAGATTACAGACAAACACAGGCTGAACAAACACACAGACACCGGAACAAACCACAGACACAAACAAACACTGGTACGAACCAACACAGACACAGACAAACTTTACAGACACAGACGCCCAGAGGTGTCGATCGATTTAAATAACTATGATCAAGTACAGTAGATACACTTTACCGTGAGTTCACCACAACAAAGAGAATATAAACTGGAAACACAAAAGGTAAGTCTTGTGCTTTATTAAATATTACTAAATAAATGCGTCGTGTACACACACACACACACACACACACACACACACACACACACACACACACACACACATAATGCTAGTAGTTTGCAGGGTGGAACATGACTCACCAGTAGGTCAGGTCAGTGAGGGAGGCAATGTCCAGGAAGTTGCTTATCATTGACTCCTTCACACACAAAAGTGACTAGAAATAATTAGGTCTACGAGGGGCGTACTTCTCCTCTTCCTCATCCTCGTCCTCCTCTTGTGATTCGTCTGATTCGTCCGACTCATCCGACTCATCCGACTCATCTGACTCATCTGACTCATCTGAATCGGGGTAGAAAGCCTCGCCCACATAAGTTACCTCGGGCTTGTATCCTAAGTCGCCGTTCACGTTGAAGGTCACCTGCTGCAGACGACCGTCGGGAAGCTGCACGTAGTATGACCCCTGGGTGAGGTCACCATCACGAGACTCCTTGTGACCGAACTCGTTACTGTCTTCATCGACGGACCACTCGAAGCTGTACTTGGCCTCACTAGACTCATAAGACTCTTCCGAAGACTCCTGAAGTTACAGAGGAATATGAGAAAGGTATTTCTTGCTTAAACGTATATATCAATACATATTTAGTATAATGACTGGGTTTTGCTTATATGAGTTAAAGAGCCACCACTACACGGAAGCTACTGCATCTGTACCTTAAACCTGTGTTTGGACTAATGTTCCTAAACAAACTATAACTATGATCTAGGACAAGTTGTAGAAGTTATCATCACCTCAGGAGAGCCATAGCCGTAAGGTCTGTCATCAGCCACGGCCACGCCCAACACGACCAGGAGGAGAACGACCTGTGGGTAGACAAAACACTCTGTGATAGAGGTCCTATTGTTTTATAATGAGAAAACAGAGAACCTTTAGGCAAATACCTTAAACATACCTTGACTTTCTTCTCAGTGTTTACACAGTGACTGATTAAACAAGTATGAAGATGCTTGTTGTTTATATAGGTAAATACTCCTAACAGCACAGAGTTGTAAACAAGAGACTACCTTAATGTTCATGTTGACTGTGGTAGCGTCCAGTAGGGAGTGACTGGTGAACCCTTCCCTGGCATTCTTTATATACCTCAGGTGCCACCAACAGGCCACCATGAGGACAAGTTTTTCTGCCCTTGTACCACCACCACTACTGCCTCGAATGCACAACTACTTTCAATGTCAGTAAACGAAAGGTTATATATGGTCTCGAGTTACGTGTTAAGTAACCAAGATTTGTGTCACTCTTGTTAAGATAAAGATAATTATAATTGCTACTTTTTATAACCCGATTTGTAGGTTAATGTTATGTGTGTGTGTTTATGCTACGGCCAGTCAACAATCTGCATCCATTTTATTGGTGTCTTAAATGTCCCCGGAGTCCAACTTAAGAGATGAAGAATTTATGAAGGTGTTATCCTAGCGGTCTGCACTGTGGTTTAAGGGAAGTTATTGACCCTGTTGGAGGTGTTAAATTACCACAGAAATTGGCTTCTTCAAACACACGCAGAGAGGCTCCGTGGCGTAACTCTCAGAGTATAACTGAAGGCGTAGATTGTTCGCATTGTGTCACCCAGGGAGAGGGTTAGGTTAAGTTAGGTTAGGTTAGGTTGTTCTCATTGTAAACTTTATATCATCGTATTCCTCTCATCTGGAACCTTTGAATGGAGATAAACACATCTATTATACTATTAAATAAACATTGAGTTCATTATTAACTAGAGGCAGAAGGGGAGAGATCATATAACCCCATGATGGACGTCCAGAGATACACCACACCCTCCCTAACCAGAAGCACTAGATCCTTGCTTACCCCAATGAGTCGTAGAAGAGGTTACCGGGAAGTGGACGGCTTTGATTACAGCATCTCTTATGATGAGGTTGAAAGTATTCTTGGATTCTAGTTTTTCTAATGCTCTTTCTTCAGTGTTATTGTTGGTGTAAATTCTCACTGTCTCTCCTCTGTCTTGTATCCCGTCTCTCCTCTGCCTCCCATTCTGTCTCTGTGTCTCGCATCAGGACGCCCTAAACCAAGAGAATGTACTTCCTCCATCTTTACCCCTCAGGACTTAGGACATTGTACTAAGAAGAGAAGCCTAACCTAACCTACACCCAAGTATCCTCCTGCTGAGCCTCAATAATAAGGATAGAGTTGTTGCAGATATGACTCCTGAAGACTTAACCCCTCCAAGTCACTGATGATAGAGTGACCCTTGGTGCCACGAGACTACTAGAGACTACTCCCTGATACCCTGAGTAAGAGTCAATTTTAGATTCTAATTGATTTTCGTAAGATTATATCAATGGTTCCAGTATCTATTTTCCTTTTGATTTTGGATCTGTTTTTTTTCTTACCATTGAGAGTGTTATCATTAAATCTCCCCAGACAAGTGTTGATGGGAGAGTCGCGTGTCCGCATTGTCTCTTGACCATTGAGTTAATAACATGAGGTGGGAGGACTTGTATCCCCTTACCGCCACGAGAAGGTAGACACTGTTGCCTAAGAGTATAGGGCTATGCCGAGGCTTGGTGGCTTATCTTGACTGGCCCGGTGAGTTGACCCTCTATCTTTTTTGTTGTTGTATGAATTTCACAAGAAAGAAAGGAAGGAGGAAAAACAATAGGGGGAGACAAATGTAGGGGAGCAACGAGGAGGGAGGAGCAACGAGGAGGGAGGAGCAGCTTAGAGAATTGGCCGATATCACCAGTAAAAACAAGAAACACCTGTCCGCCTTACCCAATTAACATACACAGGTAATTCTCCTCACCTGTACTAAATTTAATCCACAAAGGTTTATCACTATCTAACGAGGTCATATCCTGGATGACCTAACACAGTATTACAGGTATTCCGATCCTCTCTCACCCAGATCGTCTCTAGTATGACCTAACAACTCAAGATGACAGCTTCTCTTTCCTAACAGTGTAATCAGCTTACCTGTTCCAAGCGACCTACAGGTGTGGCGAAACGTAACCTGATAATTATGGATGGAAGGTAAGATATGTTTTTTGTCTCTCTTAGGCCCTATATTATGGTTTAGGTAGTGGTGTAGGTACGGGTGTTGGTAGTGGTGTAGCTAGTGGTGTTGGTAGTGTAGGTAGTGAGGCATTGCAGGTAGGCAGGCAATGTGTGGGTAGGTAAATAGGGTGTAGGTAGGTAGGTACGTGTTGGTAGGTGTAGCTAGTGGTGTTGGTGGTGTAGTAGCAGGTAGTGGTGCAGGCACGGTGTTGGTAGGTGTAGCTTGTGTGTGGTAGGTGTAGTAGTGGTAGGCAGGTAGTGTAGGCACGGGTGTTGGTAGGTAAGTGGTAGTAGAAAGTGGTGTAGCTAGTGGTGTTGGTAGTGGTGTAGTAGTGGTGTTGGTAGTGTAGGGTAGTTTGGTGTTAGTAGTAGTGTTGGTAGTACTAGTGTGCTGTAGGTGGGTTGGTAGTAGGTAGGTGTAGGGTGTTGGTAGTGGTGTTAGTGGTACGGTGTAGGTAGGTAGTGGTAGGATAGTGGGTAGTGGTGTTGGTAGTGTAGGTAGTGGTGTAGGTACGGGTGTTGGTAGTAGTGTAGCTAGTGGTGTTGGTAGTGGTGTAGGTAGTGGTGTTGGTAGTGTAGGTAGTGGTGTAGGTACGGGTGTTGGTAGTGGTGTAGCTAGTGGTGTTGGTAGTGGTGTAGCTAGTGGTGTTGGTAGTGTAGGTAGTGGTGTAGGTACGGGTGTTGGGAGTGGTGTAGCTAGTGGTGTTGGTAGTGGTGTAGCTAGTGGTGTTGGTAGTGTAGGTAGTGTAGGTATTGGTGTAGGTAGTGGTGTAGGTAGTGGCGTAGAAGGGTGTGTGTGTGTGTGGGTGTGATCATCTCTCAGTTACCCCATCATCCTGTTATACAAGTCACCTTCTCTTGATCATCATTACCTCACAAGCTTGTACACTTCTCCGATCCATTTACTAGGTTAACAAATAATACATATATACTCTACACTAATATGTGACTTTTACGTGTATGTGTGTATGTATGTGTTTTTATAGTCCCCTTCACTAGCGCGTTTACAGGGACTCGTCATATAAACATTCCACAAATCATTATATTGAGTTATTTGTTTTAATGTTGTTTTAATTCAATTCTATTATGTTTGCTATTGTGAGTTTCCCTCTGTTGAATGTAAACAAACACAACGCTGCCACACTACACAGAACCTCATTAACCCCTGTAAACGCACTAGTGAAGGGGACTGTAGTGTGTGAGAGTGTCCCATGAATTTTAATCCCCTTACTAAAACATGTCGGCATCTATAAGTTTTAATCATTGAGCAGCAAGTGAGGTGTGGGGAGAGGAACGGGATACATTAGAGTGACTTATAAATATTGAGGACGATAATGAACAAGGTAAGGGGTGTGGCTGGTGGCTTACTTGACCCTAAGATAACGAGATATAGATTAATGATACACTGGATTGATAAGATTAATGAGAAAACGAGAAATAGGAATAAATAGAGTGGAAGTAAAGTATGATAGGATTAAATGCGTGAATGATAATTATAATGAGATATTTAAAGAAAAGTTCCTCATGCGGCAATTATGATATCGATCAGTCAGGTCAAAAAAGGCGGATCTTGTGCTCATTATACATAGCCAAAAAATTTAATAGAATAAAGGTTTTGTGAACATGATCAGGTTAAGTAAATTTGGGGTACATTTTTATCCACTGGTTAAGGTGCCACCCATACTAATTGGCTTAGAGATACTTTCCATTATCTAGGTTAAAGGCCCTATTATATGGCTTAGCCTAGATTGAGTCAATTTTAGCTGTATTTACATTTATAGTCAAGTTAAGGCACCACTATATGGTTTTAAAGACACAGAACTTTTTTTTACAGGAAGAGAAAAAGTAGAGACGCACAGAGCTTCCCATGTCAGGTAGCAAGTGGTCAGTCCTTCAATAGATCTTTAGTCTGGGTCATTTTGTAAAGGTCAGAGTTGTACAGTGTTGTGTCATGGTGTCTCTTGATGGGATGTTTCCTTTTTGCCTTAAGTATTGAGAAACAGAGGTACAGGTAGGGTATAAAGTGTAAAAAACTCCACAGGTAAAAGGTATGAGTACGGGTGTAGGTTACGAGTACATGTGGAGTTACGAGTACAGGTAGAGATACTTGTACAGGTATAAAAAAACAGGTACCCATTCATGGTTGGGTTGACTCGGGGTGCTCCGGGCATGAAACAACTACTGTACCACACCACACCACACCACACCACACCACACCACACCACACCACAACATACTTATTTACATGTATGACAACTCAGAAAATATTATCAGTGACAAGACCAGGTATGAAGATCAAGGACAGAAAAAACACTCAACTTTGCACATTTTCTGTCGCACTTGTCTGACATATGAACGACACAAACCACATTTATTTTATTTTTGAACACTGATCCAAATATCCAATCAAGTTCAAAATCTCAAAGACATATTGAACACCTCACTTAAAAATATGTTGAACAAGATGACTTTACAATATGATAATACTTCACTTTTTTTAACCTATTACACGTAAGAAAAATACCCCGGTGAAAGTAACCATAAGATCTAAATGTGGATAACCTTTAATTAGTATAGTAAAGGTACAAACTTCGACTACTCAGTGACAAGAAGTGTGGACATGTGGACCCAAACTTACCCAAAGTGAAGGTGAATGTAGATGCCGTGGTTCAAGGGCACACAACAACACAAGGGTTTAGATCTTATTATCTTATTCTTCTGATGAAACTATGTGATGGTGAGCAGAATCCGACTCTTTTACCCTACCAATAATACGGACAGACAGACAGAGGGACAGAGACGCTAGATACGAACGGACAGACTGACAGGGATGCTAATTTTAAGTCTATGTTCTGAGTTGAGGTTAACGACACTTAAGGTTCCGAGTCGGGGTTTACGAAGCTTCATAAGGTACTGTAGTAGTAGTAGTAGTAGTAGTAGTAGTAGTAGTAGTAGTAGTAGTAGTGTTATCCTTCATATAATCCTTACTATTAGTGCTATAATTATCCCAATATAAAACACTACATACAGATACCTTGGCAGTGTTACTAGATGCGTCATTATAGGCACAGGTGAACCTTGCTTCTTGACACTGTGACTTTTGTGAACTAGTTACATATCTCGATCGACCTTGTATGATGATCTGGATACATGCAGACTGACAGACAACATCATTTATACCCTAACAACCTCCATATTAGTCAGTGTTCATGGTCAGGGAGTCAAGGAGTGTCAGAATAAAATAAAATTTGAAAATAAATGAATTGTAGACAAAAGACAGACGTACAGTACAAAATTAACAAGTACTAAATGTCCCTCAGAGGTTTATCCACACTCCTCTTACAGAAGAATACCACGGCAAGGTTAATTACACACAGGTGTTGTCCCTAATTAGTTACCTGATGGTTTGATTGAGTTAATAATACCTAAACAGTCCTGCTTTTGTGACAGTTTGTGTTATATCGGAGGTAGGAGGCAGCTATCAAACAGGGAGGTACTACCGCCTGGGAAGATATTGGAAGCATAATGTGTTGTCTAATGGTAGACCCTGCTGCCATATGGCATCACAAAAATTGTGACCAAGTCCCAGGTTGCTGATCTGACTTTCTGCCTCATTTACACACAATTGCTGGGTCTCAATTGTTTCCCTTACTTTGACAACACAACATACATATATTGTTTCTCACTCTTGATTTATTTTTTCGTTTGTGTATTTATTTATGGTTATTATTAGTAGTATTTTTATCTTTTGGTTATAATTTTTATCTATTTTTATTAATTATTATTAAATATTATTATTATTATTATTATTATTATATTTTCGCCCCCCGGCCCTGTGCTCGGGTGGGCTAATTCCCGTAAAAAGAATTCTACCTGTACCTGTATTTGTAAGTGTCGACATGCATACACATACACAAATACACGTAAATACACATACACACAATTAAATACACATACAAACACATAGTAAACAAGTACCACACATACACACCTTGTACCTGTATATGTCTGTCTAGTGTATCCTGAATGTGTACCTGTGTATGTACGTGTATATCCTGTGTACTTGAACCTACAATGTCGTTTGTAATGATGTACAGTACAGTAGGTTGACCCCGAGTTGTTTGTACACTGCTCTTACACTGAAGTCACTGTTATAACATCTACACCTGAACCTATGTTATTGTTTATGAATTGATAAGGTAAAGCGAAGTACAGTAGAATTAAAGCTGGGAGATCGAGGCCTCTGGTGGGCTGTGGTGGACCATAAATCACCTCCTCATATGAGTATCGAAAGTTCATAGGATGTCTTGAAACCACGGGTGACCTTACTGGGTGGGCGGGCGTGCTAACTCTCTCTCGCTCTCTCTCTCTCTCTCTCTTTAGTCCTTTATCCTACACGTAGAGTGTCATCTAACTATGTAAAGTCCATGACATGACAAGGGTGTAAGTTTATGACAAGATGTCCTCTACTGCACCTTAAACACTATCCAATAATCTGTGCTTTACCATTGAGAATTTGATACCATTGTCTCCTACCCCGCTGTAGCTCAGTAACAATTGGAGAAACGAGAGCACACGAGGTATAAAAACTATTCTATTAGTCACAGCAACAACGAGGTGTAGTGCATGTTAATGTTGCCAGCGGAGCCAAGTCTGTATCCCAACCCTCAGGTACCCAGCTGATGAGGGTCCCCAGAGCAATTTAGTAAAGGTTTTTGTCTAAAGTGTAAAGTGTAAAGTGTAAAGTGTAAAGTGTAAAGTGGGCGTCTACGTGGGTCCCCATGAACAAACTTCCCTCTCAATTAATGTCGAGGTTAAGCCAACAGAAAAATATATTGATATAGAGATGCGGAGTTCTGTGTTTTCTCTGACGATGATTATTGACAACTTCCATTCCCCATGTAACAAATCCACAGCTCGATGCTTCCCTTGTTAGATCCCAAGTTGAAGGGTAAAACAGTGGATGGGAGAGGAATGATTGATTGATGTAGAAATTATCGAGAGATATAGAGACGAGGCAAATGTTCTCTTAGTTATTATAGGTCCCAGTACTAATAAGCCACTATAATAATCACATTACCAACAACCATAACAATCATAATAGCAACAACAGTATTTAATGGTACATATTACATTACCAGTTACAGTGACAATACTTAAGACGGTAACAAGACGTTTTTTTTTTTTTTTTTATACAATCAGTTCTGAGAAAGCGAGTCATCAGGTCACAAGGCCTTGATGGGGAGATTCAAGAACGAGTTTGTTGTTGGTCTAATGTATTGAAGTTATAGCCAAGATGTTTAATTATATATTACTTTCAGACAATAATTAATCTCTCATTTACGGGGTTCCATTCTCGGCTGAATAAAATCGTCTGGAGTCACGTGTTTCAGTGTTTTGTGTGTGAGTGTCCGTCAGTGTGCGTCCGTCAGTGTCCATCAGTGTGCGTCCGTCAGTGTCCGTCAGTGTGCGTCCGTCAGTGTCCATCAGTGTTCCTCAGTGTCCGCCGTTTCTATCTATAGGAATATTTAATACTTAGATAAAACTCACTAACTCTCTTTTCCTGCACTAAACACCACATTTTGAAGATTTAAATAAATATTCTTACTTCTTGGCAACTGAGATCACTACTGAGACCCTAGCATAGTCAGTCTCAAGGGCGTCCATGCAATACCTATCTGACGTTACCAGGATCACCAGCAGTATGGACAGGTTCCCGTTGTTTACCTGAGTCCTGCGTCCACAGATTACAGGTATTGGTGATTTAGTGTCGTGTGTGTATGTGTGTATGTATTACCTACTGTGTATGTATTACCTACTGTACAGTGTGCAGGAGAACAAGCAATATGTTCCTTCGTTATGTGTCAAAAGGTGAAGCTCAAAGTCATGGTTTAAAATCACATGTTTGACCAAAGATCGAGGTTACTGATACCGCGAAGTGTTTTTTTATTTTGATCTCTGACCACCAGACAAACATACAAACTTAATGAAGGTTACCTCTACAAACACATCCTCATGATCAAGATGAATAAATAATGACAGGAAGTTTATGAATGTAAATTAAGGAATCTGATTATGTAAGGATTTGGTATATTACATGAGATTCACTAACCATTCTAAGACTCATTATCACAGTAGAGATTCTATACATATGGACATTTACGATAGCAATAACATCTTGTTGATTTAATGGACCAAGAAAATATTTAAACATATAACTTGTCCTGATAATGAAAGTTGTTAGTCCCAGCTCATAAGTAGATTAGAAACAGACGACAATAAAAACCTGAGCTAGATGACCTCAGCTTACTTGTAGGGAGAGCTCTGACCAAGGGTATATAACACCTGTACCCAGGACGTGTCTTGCTCACTGTTAAATCAACATAAGTCCCTCGAGATCATGAACTGTAAGGTAAGTGTATATTATGATGGGTAGTAAGGTAATGTGTGTGTGTGTGTGTGTGTGTGTCGCTGAAGACTACGGAAGTGAGTGTTTTGTTGTCATGGGAATTGTAGATTGTAAAAATATAATTAAATCTCGATGATATATTAAGCAAATTTATGTTTTCTTGGGTTTAAATTCCTTAAGCACAGTGAGTTAGGGTATTGAATACGGTATCATGACCTATTGAGTACGATGACTTAACCCCTTAGCCCCTTGAGTACGATGATTTAACCCCTTAACCCTTTGAGTACGATGACTTAGCCCCTTGATCACTGTGAGTTAGCCCCTTGAGTACGGTGACACTGTACTCGTGGATTAAGAAATTGTAATCAGTGGGTTAATTAAATTACCATAATCAAAATTAACTTTTATTTGGTGTCTGCATCCTTAACAAATCCTGTAACTTAATCAACCTGTGTTAACATATGCAACTCAAACTATATCATATGTGTCAGATACTCACACATAAGTAGTAAATATGTGTTAAATTACTCTAAATATAAGCTGTAAGGTATGTGTTGCGTCTCATTTGTGTATTTACCTGTTGCGAGTTAATTGTTATGATACAGTGAAGTGCAGGTATGTGTCAGTGTGTATTATGTGTCAAGCAGTTTATTATATGTCAAACAGTGTAATATGTGTCAGTGTAGTATGTGTCAGTGTAGTATGTGTCAGTGTAGTATGTGTCAGTGTAGTAGGTATCAGCTTAGTATGTGTCAAACAGTGTAATATGTGTCAAAAAATAAGTATGTGTCAAACAGTGTATCATGTATCGGGTGGTGTATTATGTGTCACTTAATTATGTGTCAAACAGTGTATCATGTATCGGGTGGTGTAGTATGTGTCACTTAATTATGTGTCAAACAGTGTATCATGTATCGGGTGGTGTATTATGTGTCACTTAATTATGTGTCAAACAGTGTATCATGTATCGGGTGGTGTAGTATGTGTCACTTAATTATGTGTCAAACAATGTATCATGTATCGGGTGGTGTAGTATGTGTCACTTAATTATGTGTCAAACAGTGTATCATGTATCGGGTGGTGTAGTATGTGTCACTTAATTATGTGTCAAACAGTGTATCGTGTATCGGGTGGTGTAGTATGTGTCACTTAATTATGTGTCAAACAGTGTATCATGTATCGGGTGGTGTAGTATGTGTCACTTAATTATGTGTCAAACAGTGTATCATGTATCGGGTGGTAGTATGTGTCAAACAGTTATCATGTATCGTGGTGTAGTATGTGTCACTTAATTATGTGTCAAACAGTGTATCATGTATCGGGTGGTGTAGTATGTGTCACTTAATTATGTGTCAAACAGTGTATCATGTATCGGGTGGTGTATTATGTGTCACTTAATTATGTGTCAAACAGTGTATCATGTATCGGGTGGTGTAGTATGTGTCACTTAATTATGTGTCAAACAGTGTATCATGTATCGGGTGGTGTAGTATGTGTCACTTAATTATGTGTCAAACAGTGTATCATGTATCGGGTGGTGTAGTATGTGTCACTTAATTATGTGTCAAACAGTGTATCATGTATCGGGTGGTGTAGTATGTGTCACTTAATTATGTGTCAAACAGTGTATCATGTATCGGGTGGTGTAGTATGTGTCACTTAATTATGTGTCAAACAGTGTATCATGTATCGGGTGGTGTAGTATGTGTCACTTAATTATGTGTCAAACAGTGTATCATGTATCGGGTGGTGTAGTATGTGTCACTTAATTATGTGTCAAACAGTGTATCATGTATCGGGTGGTGTAGTATGTGTCACTTAATTATGTGTCAAACAGTGTATCATGTATCGGGTGGTGTAGTATGTGTCACTTAATTATGTGTCAAACAGTGTATCATGTCTTTGTCAGCTAAATATAAAAGGGTCTAATTAGATCATTTCTCTGGAGATTATTAATGAGATCAAGGAATTTTACTTAGGTGTCGAGTCCAGTGGAGAGATACGACCTGTTATTTGAGTTAAGTTCAGTGGATTCCAGCTCCTGTTTATTTATGTCTTAACACTAGTGTATTTTGTGATATATTCAGTGGATTTCAGGTCCCGTTTACTTCCATCTCATCATCCGTGTATTTATGTAGGTGAAAGTTCCTACTGTCCTTCTGGTGATTGTCTTTACAGTTAATTAAACATAAAAGTTATAATTCTGATTAGGCTCGAGATCACTTCATGTCAGACTTGTTTATATACAGTGTGGAGTAGCCCGTGTTTCTGCTCTCTCTCTCTCTCTCTCTCTCAGCCTTAGTCAATTATCACAGGAGATAGTTTTCTTCTTCAACTTATCGTCAAATTTAACTAGCCAGATCTCATGAAGGCTGAGAGATATTAACAAACGATCCAGAAATATTAACTAATCTGATGGGCAAAGATGAAGGAGAGTCGTTTTCTTCTGTGTTCTATAAGGGTGACTATGAGAAATAATAATCGTATACTCGTTTCTCATTTAATCTTCAATGTATCAATATTCTTACGTATTCTAAGAGTTTTATAAAGTACTGTACATCTGATTGTAACATTATTTGAACTAAAATTATCTAACAGTTCATAAACGTAGGAATTATGAAGTTCTTTCCTTAATTTTCTATGTACAGGTATGAATATGTATTTGCAAGGTGTAAATCTAATTAGTAAACAAAGGTGTCTGTATCCTCTTCAGGTGGTGGCTGTGTTGTGCCTGGCTACTGTGATCACCTGCGACACCAGACCTGCATATACGTATAGGCATCTACTGGTAAAGAAACTATTATTTGTATGAATTTAATATCCTTGAATATAATATTTGTGTAGTAGTAGTAGTAGTAATAGTAGTAGTAGTAGTAGTAGTAGCCTTATAGTTGGGTGCGGCTCTAAGATCAAAATATCAATACCCCTTCAGGAACCCTCAAAGGAATCTTATGAGTCGACTGAGGCGAAATACAGCTTCGAGTGGTCCGTTGATGAAGACAGTAACGAGTTCGGTCACCAGGAGTCTCGGGATGGTGATGACACTAAGGGGTCGTACTACGTGCAGCTTCCTGGAGGTCGTCTGCATCAGGTGACCTTCTCTGTCGTCGGTGAGTCGGGGTTCAAGCCACTGGTGTCGGTATTGGGTGGGGCTTCCTTACCTGAGTCAGATGAATCGGATGAATCATATGGGTCAGGTGAGTCAGATGAATCAGAAGAGGATGATGATCATGGTGACAGTCATAGTAATGAGAGTGATGACGATACTAACGATATTGATGATAATAATAGTGATGATTCTGATGATAATAGTGATGATTCTGATGATAATAGTGATGATTCTGATGATAATAGTAATGATGATGATGACAATAGTGATGATGATGATGATGATTTCCACCATCATTTCAATCCCTTCTATAATTCCTTTGAGTCATAGGAAGGTTCCCATCAGCCTACCTGAGACACCACACACGAAGACATGCATCTATAGCTTCGTCAATAATTCAGGAAAACTCAAACGTGCAATAATGATAAGATAAACTTGCAGAAAGGCCTCCACTCTTACCTACTACAGTGTCTGGGGCGTATTATGAGATGTGACAACTCTGTGTTTATTTACATTGAGACGTCCTGCTTCGTTTATCCTTATTGAAATTCTGATAAAACTTCAACCTATACCTACCATTGCTCACCTGTATATATGATTATTCTTGTATTTATTTATTTATTCATAATGATGCAAAATAAAACAGTGATATAAAGTATAAGGCTGTTTTATTGCATAGTATTTGTTGTATTGTCTGAGAGATGAAGTAGTTGAGGTTTATTAAGAACTAAATGACTTAAGATCTCTGGCAGTGGATTCAGATAGCCTCTCTCTCTCTCTCTCTCTCTCTCTCTCTCTCTCTCTCTCTCTCTCTCTCTCACACACCCAGGGAGTAACACTGTCACCGCCCCAGCATCCCTCACCTCTGGACTACACTGCTCATGTAATATCTGACCTTCCTCTCCAGGTTAATGTTCCACCTTATGACGCAATGGTGGGTGTGACCTGACCTAGTGCCTCTTGAGTGATAGAGAGAGAGAGGGAGAGACAGGGAAGTAAGGAGGGTGCCAGGAAGAGGGAGAGTGAGAGAGGGGGGGAAGTAAGGAAGAGAGTAAGAGAAAGGTGATAGGGTCAGAAAGGGGATGTGGAGAGAAAGGGAAGTAAGGAGGGAGTAAGGAAGAAGGAGAGTTAGAGAAAGAGAGAGAGATAGAGGGAGATAAAGAAAGAGAGAGAGGAATAGGGGAATGAAAGACGAGAGAAAAAAGAAAAAGAAGAGACAGAGAGACAGACAAACAGACAGACACAGAAAGAGACAAAAACAAACCCAGAGAGAGAGAGAGAGAGAGAGAGAGGCAGAGAGAGAGAGAGAGAGAGAGAGAGAGAGAAACAGAAAGAAACAGAAAGAGACAGAGAGAAACAGAAAGAAACAGAGAGAAACAGAGACCAAAAGTAACAGGAAAATATGACATACAGACACACACCTTAAAAGAAATATACCATAATTAACAGGTCACGGAAACACCATTTAGGCTCCACACGTGCGGCAAATGCAAGGTTAATTGACTTACCTCTTGTATTATAGCTGCCTTAACTTTAGCTGGAGTGAATAGGGGTGTTTTAGCTTATCTTCAGTGTGTATAGATTATTTTTTTACACGCAGAAATGTATATAGCTTCTTCTATAATAATTTAAATGTATATTGATTTTTTTAACCCTGGTTTACTGTGTTAGTTAGTTAGTTAGTTAGTTAGAAAGAAAGAAAGTAAAGAGACAAAAAAGTAAGTAAAAGAGAGAGAGAGAGAGAGAATTAGGGCACCACACCTGACTTCCAGGTAGAACAAGAGTCACCTCACCTGTATGTCAAAGGTAAGTCAAGGAGGCTGTCAAAGGTCTCTCTTTCCCTGGAGTCTCAATATCTAGGATGATATAATTTCTATATAATATGTGATTCTATAACTCCCATAAATATGAGACTATAATTACCATATATGTGATACTATAACTGTACAACTATGATATATCAGTTTATTGTGTTATACTTATTTCAGTCACTATATGTGTGTGTGTACTTAAGCAATGTAAGATTATATGGATCATGTGAAGAATAGACACCCAAGTTTATTTTATCTGTTGATTAAACACCCTAATGTTATATAGGGGATTAGGTTAGGTTCTGTTTGGTTAGGTTAGGTTAGGTTAGGATAGCATTAGATTAGATTAGATTAGATTAGCGTGAAGTTAGGTTTGGCTATGTTAGTATTAGGTGACGTTAGATTAGGTTAAGTTAAGATTAGAGTGGTTTATCATAAGGTGAAATAATCTGGTATGCCTAATCTTCAAGTGATTCGACAAAAAGTGGAATTCTATCATAACTACAAGCCAGACTTACCTTCAACTGCTTGGGATGACTTAAGGCACCAGCTTTTAAGAAACACGTCCAAGCTTATAAAAACAGGCAAACGAGTAGTAAAAGTTACTGTTCTAATTGAGTCAGTGTTGAAACGATAAAGAAAATGGGAAGTGGGTTAAGAAAATAATATATACCACACCCAAAGGAAACAGGTTCCTGCCTTATGTTGAAGAGGTAATAGAGAAAATGGGATGCTAATACCTCACATGTTGATGAAAGAAAACGATTCGAAGCCCAACTATTAAGAATTGGTGAGAGAAAACGGATCAATGACTAAACTTCGAGTACAAATTAAAGAAAACTGTTTTTTTTACCAACATTCAAGCATAGAATAAAAGAGAATGGATAATTTACAATCAAACAACCAAGCATAATAGAAAACGGATTGTCGGCCAGTGTCCAAACACCCACCAGAGAGAACGTGCTTGAGTCAGACGCTCTCTCTCACGCTGACCAGGTAAAAGGTCACCTGGACACCGCCTTGTGCCATGACCGTTTCTTGTTCGATATTTGGTTACAGGTAATTTTGTCTTTATTTTGTTTAGTTCATGTTCTGTCTGTCTGTCTGTCTGTCTGTCTGTCTGTATTTGCCCCAGCCAGTGTTTACCACCAAGACATCTTTTGACGTGAAGGGTTAAAAGGTCTCCAAACACATTTATCAAGTAAATATATTTAATTATATTCTCAAAATAGATTGAATTTAGAATAAATAATCACAATAAGATATTGATTCAATAAATAGATTAATACAGTCATAGTGACTGGGTGGAATAAAGAGACGAAAGGTCGTACAGGGATATACGAGTAGATTCCTGGACATATTTGTAGAGGTAAGAAAACTTCCAAGTTTATTTATGATCTGGAGATCAAGATGACGTGGAAGAGAACCGTGTACTTAAGACACGGACAGCAGCTTGTACGGCGAGGCAGGAGGACTAGCCGTACACTGGCCTGCGGGGAGCGTACTCGAAGGATTCGAAGGAGGAAGATTCGTCAGAATAGCGAGCCTCTCCGTCGTATTTGACATCGGCCAGGTAGCCTGAGTCACCGTCCACGTAGAACGTCACAGTCTGACGACGACCGTCGGGAAGCTGCACGTAGTACGACCCCTGGGTGTCGTCACCGTCGCGGGTCTCCTGGTGACCGAACTCATTGCTTGAAGGGTCGTGGTCGACGGCCCAGTTGAAGTTGTACTGAGCCTCACTTGACTCATACGATTCCTCTGAGAAGTCCTGAAGAAGTAAAGAACGATTGATAAATAAACATCAATATCTATGAAGCACTTGACTGGCATCACGATGTTTGAATTTCTATTTTTGTAACGAGGCTGAGAAGGTGTTCCCATGTCACCTCAACCAAATAATCAATTATCGTTGTCGAGTGTGTTAAACTAACAGTAACCTTAAGACCTGAGTTGTATGTGATACATTGAGATCATAGACAAACTTGATATAATCTAAAATTCGTGTCATCATACATCAGGGAATCAGAACTTACCCGAGGAGCTGAGTAGGAGGGACGGGGGCGCCTATCAGCAGCAACCAGGGTCACCACACCCAGCAGGAAGAGGATCTGAAACATTGATTCCGATAAGAGACACACGAGCCATCCCCACATATCATCTAACAGTTAAAATAACAACATGAGTGACCTTACCTTTAGCTTCATCTATCTGTTCTGGCTGTGTCATTTTAACACGTTCAACTTGACAATAATTATCTCGTGATGATAATAAGGTAAAAACAAGTTCATCTTCTAGGCTGGGGATCATCTACGCACAAGAAGCACAACACAGGATATTACTACTAGTCATACCAGTACCAAACCTATCATACAAGTTTATTCAACAACATACCAACAGTCGTACTAGTATACTCGATCTCTAGTGGAGTATAACATAGATATATCCTTCACCTCGCTTAGTATAACCCAAACAAACCAGTATATTCAACTCTTGGCATTGTATAACCAAATATACCACTAAATAATAAGGTATACAAGTACATACAATCCTTACCAGAGTATAACCAATCATACTAGTATATACAATCTCTAGACGTATATAACAAAGTATATAAGCCACATGTAATCCCTGGCAGAGTATAACAAGATATACCACAAGCCCAGTATAACCAGACGGAGGCTCACCTTAGCGTTCATGTTGATCAGGTAATACGTGAACTGTGTACCTCCATGTCTTCACTATCTGCTATATATATACCTCATCTCTCACCACCTCCTCCTCCACCTCAACACCAGTCATCCTCGGGCTAACTACCATTGTAAGGTCAAGTTTTTGCTGGTTCTTGGCACATACCTGGAGAACGAGCGCTTACCGGGCGTTCCCTGACCTTGACTCTCCAACAGGTGTATTGGTAAAAAGGGCGATGCCTGGTGGTCAGTTTTCTTCATCCAGTTTAATGTTGAAATTGTGGGAGTGTGGGAGTGTGTGTGTGTGTGTGTGTGTGTGTGTGTGTGTGTGTGTCATTCATGCCTATGGGACCCACATTCTCTGTCAAGGAAGATTATATTATTTAAGGTCATATATTTTGTGAATCAGTGACCAATACTCCTTGTACTCTTGGTCAGATTCTCAGGACTCGTAGACTAATATTGTCTCCTGAGTGTAACTGAAAGAAAGTATTTAGTTTTAGTAAAGTCTAAGTTTATTTTGTGAATCATTTTGGTTCATATATGAAGTCTTCAATTTCGATGTTTTCTTAAATTATAAGTTATTTGGAAAATTTAACATCTAAGACTTAGAGAATCCTGAGGCAAGTTGAATCGAAAATAATAATCCAGATGCTGTAGGCAGCTATTTAAACATCCCGTCTTGCTTACAGAGAGACTTATTCTGCCACGCCCTCAGCCTGTTCTCTGAGTGGACTCCTCATACACCCCCCTACTGACACACTCCATACAACATCTTGGTCACCCCTGTTATTCTCCCAGAGTAATTTTCAAGCCAAGAAATTTCCTAAACATTGAGAGTTTGTTTAAAAATGATCCCAAATGCAAAAAATACACCTATCCACAATTTTCAAGTGGTCTACACCCTTGGGTTTATGGAGGTCAAGTCTAGAAAAACTCAAGTCACCACCATACTGAGGAACCAGGTCAGTGAAGCAGAAAGTATGAAAAGAATTCTACCTGACACGCAACAGACAGCTGTAGAATTAGTGTTGGATCAATCACTCTCACCCGATAAGTATTTCCTGTGTGTTGAGGGTGTGTATGGGGTCATCTCTAACATCTTTTGTGGAGTCCCTGGGTTAATGCTGCACACACACACACACATACCCTCACTTAAAGCTAATGTCATTGTTGCCATGAACATCCTTTAACTGATAATGTAAATACAGATGCGTCACGTTGGCCTCACACCACCTCAGTCTCTCCTCGTGAATTCATCAGGAAAAAACACAACATTAAGTGATGGTGCAGGAATTCAAAACCATTTAAATATAAAGTATCCTATGAATTTGACTTCTTTTGTAGCTTTAATAAAGATATACCAGGTATCAACAAGTCAACCCACGCCACACCCTCTGCTACTACACACAATCACTTCACAATACCGACATCCTGCAAGGTGCTGTTTTTGTCCCTCAGCAGTTTGTTAATTACGAACACGGGAGCCCCAGGCAGTTGATGAGGTCACGTGATTGACTCTAAAAGTTCAGACAGCTATTCTCTTGACCTGACATCTGTGGATTATACGTTAGACATTTGACAGAAATAATAAATTGCACTTGAAGTTTGTTTTGCTTGCTTGTAATTTATGATATTTGCAGCTGGGATATAAAATGTGAATCGATCTGAACTCTTGATAGAATACAATTGTTTACACATCATACAACACACGAAGATTATAAACACAAGTCGTGGTACACAAACAGATAAACAATATGACTTTATTATTTAACCTAACCTAACCTAGACCACTTGTAGACTGTTGGATGTTTTGTGCATTAATTTAAACAGTAATCCGGTTAGGGTGTCACACACACACATACACACACACACACACACACACACACACACACACACACACACACACACACACACAGAGGTCAGGTGAAGGTAGGTAAGAATTGTGTTGACTAGACAAACAACTATATATATCATATCATGTTGATGTGTGAATGAGTTCCCAGTCTGGTAAGCAGTGAGTGAAGAGAGATGCCGTGGCTGATAGTGTGTTGAGACAGTGAGGTTCAGAGGCCCGTGTTGTATTACTGAGATGGGAAGTGAACCGGAGTCGAAAGTGGCTTCAGTTCTCACAAACCCAAATCCTAGTGGCTCTGAATCGTATAGACCAAAATTCTAATAGGCCTAAAAGCTCTAATAGGGCCAAGTCCTAATAGGCCCTAGTGCTAATAGTGCTCAATGCTAATGGTTATGAATCCTATAGGCTAGAATTCTAATAGGCCTAAGCTCTAATAAGCCCCAGTCTATTAAGCCCAAATCCTAATAGACCCCAGTCCCAGCGGGTCCAGTTTTCATAGCCAAGTTTAACTGAGGTTTATCAAGACTGTGAACCATATGACCTGAAATACCTTGGTCGACTATATTTCATGATAGTAAGATAAGATATACTCACTGGTGTTGCATTACCGCACATGCTAACACGGTAAGACTTCAGAACCTATGTGTTAAGTAAAGAGAGGGTTAGACTTTACATGACGACAGAACCACAGAAAGACAATGAATAAAATATGATTGAGATGCATAGGAGAAATGAGAATAACAAGAGAGGAAACAAAGAACTGATAACTATAAAGGAGAAATAAAGGAAGAGAAAACGTAAGAATTGTTTTGAGAAAGACATAAAAGGAAACAGCTGGGTAGAGAAGTGGTTTTTTTTTCTTGTCAACTGGACTAAAAATGTTACAATGTATAACACGTACTTAATATGTTTTGTCTTTTACACGACCTCGATATTTTCAGTGTTGTGGTCACTCTAAAAAGGTCATACAAGGTCGGCGAACGCTCACTCACATACCAGACCTTACCTGAGAGAACAAATTCCAACACGTTCTTCATAATTAGATTTAAAACAGGCGACTCATCATGATTACGAGAAATATGACTACATAAATATTCACACAGACAAAGCAGGTGTACATAGCTGGACATTCCGACATACAGATCATTCTCCTTACGTGCATCCATCGTTAAGCAAAGACGTTGATTACACACGTCTATGAAAAAACAATTAATACCTGGTACGTGATGATTGGTTCACTCACCTGTGGATAATATTCATACGGTAACCACAATACACCTGGGGAAAGTATCAGGTATTTAACATCACATAATTGTTTGTTCATCTAAAGGAGTGTAGTCATGATTAAAGACTACATGTTAACAAGGCCACATCAGCATGGGACTGGGTGTTTCTTTTCCTCTTAAAACCCAGGTGTGGTCTTAGCCTATAAACGTCATTAACTTAGTTGTAAGCGACGTAGATAGGAAGGGGGCGTGGCTAAAGTCTTTTTGTAATGTTGTCTCACCTGTGTGTGTGTGTGTGTGTGTGTGTGTGTGTGTGTGTGTGTGTGTGTGTGTGTGTGTGTGTACCTCAATGATAACTATTTGAGTTCACGGGTATATAGCCTTAATGATTGGCTGTTGTCTGTGTATAATTGATTAATAAGTTATATACACAGGGTAACACACACACACACACACACACACACACACACACACACACACATACTTATAATGGTTACCCAATAACAAATCTCTACGATAAGGACACATTTATCTGATCATGAATTATATATATTAGTGACTGAAGATTAGCAGCTGCCCGTTGCCCAGACATTTCTTGTGACGTAACTTAATTTGGTCTTATGTGTGAGTTGGGACTATGAGCTGTGAGGTACTTGAGAATAGAGGCGGAGTGCGGAAGAGAAGGGACGAATGTTTTTTTCTTCAGAACTGGTTGAAAATTGGATCTTTTTATCAGTAAATTGAAGACCACGAGATAGTTCGTCGTGACCCGCTGTGTGTTAAGTCCAAGACCGCTAAAATATAGGCCGATTTGTGTTGTTTTAATCGACTTTGTTTGGCAGACAAACAAACGGGGCTACTGTTGACCTTATTTATTGCTCAGGTGTGTGGGTGTGTGTGTGTGTGTGTGTGTGTGTGTGTGGTTAAGTCTGTGATACTTGTGAGTCACGTGAGCGTTCCTTGTATTAGTATAGTTTTCATACATGATTTAGTTTATGATACAAAGTGGAATAACAAAACGAGTTCTGTATGTCAGTCTACTTGGGTTTTATTAACTTAAAATAAATACAGGAGAATAAGTTAAGGTTTTCTACCAGCAGGTGATACAAATATTAGCAGCATGCATCATCCTTCTCACATTACTGTGGCATACTTGTCTAGCCGTACACACGCCTGGGAGGGGCGTAGCGGGGAGCCTCCCGGGACTCGAAGGACTCAAAGGACTCGTATGAGTCGGGGTAGCGAGCCTCTCCGTCGTACTTGACATCAGCAATGTAGCCTGAGTCACCGTCCACGAAGTAATTCACAGTCTGCAGACGACCGTCGGGAAGCTGCACGTAGTACGACCCCTGGGTGTCGTCACCATCACGAGTCTCCTGGTGACCGAAGTCGTTGCCGGAGGGGTCGTGCTTCACGGCGTAGTTGAAGTTGTACTGAGCCTCACCAGACTCGTAAGACTCAAAAGACTCCTCAGAAGAATAAGCCTGCAGGTACAAGAAATATAAACATGAAGGTAATTACTGTACTGGGTAAACAACACAAATGTGACGTAGACAAATATTCAAACACACTTCAGAAGAAATCCTTTTATTTCACATTTAATTAAAATACCTTTAAACTACTTCAGGTTGAGAGCGTGTGGGGTAGGACTCACCCGAGGGGCACCGTAGGAGAAGGATGGACGTCTGTCAGCAGTAGCCGCGGCCACCACACCCAGCACTACTAATACCTGTCGAAGGAGGACCTGTGTGATTCAACGCCTCTCGGTACACATAATATATTATAGTCTCTCTCTCTCTCTCTCTCTCTCTCTCTCTCTCTCTCTCTCTCTCTCTCTCTCTACCTTTGCGATCATGGTGTTGTTGCCTCAGGAGCTTCACTGGTGGGGAAGGAAGGCAGCTTTCCTTTATATACTGTATACCGCCAGGATGTGTGACGTAATGAAACGACTTCTTACACAAACTGAGACGCAGAGGCAAGAAATACTGACTAGACGCCATTACCTTAAATGTATTACCAAACTTAATTATAATCAACTGGTTAGGTTAGGTTAGGTCAGGTTAGGTTAGGTTATATTTAAGATACACCAATTTATTACTTTTTAGGTAAAGAAAAGGTTAGTACATATTAAATTAAATGCTGGTATTACACCTCAGTGCTGATATTACATTTAAAATTACAATATTACAAACTAATGACGTTTACATATTACACTGACAAATAATAGTACACTTAAAGCTAGAATTACATTACATGATATTGTATTACATTGCATTCAAGTCTAGGGTCACTTTTACTATATATACAATCAAGGTAATCCATCTAATTTACCAGGTGAGATTCCTAGCCCATAGGTGCCTACAGAAACACCTTATATTACCTGTCTTGTAAGGTAGAGTTGGCTCATAGATATGCTAGGCATAAAAGACCTTTTTTGTTTAACTGTTTCTACTTTATTATTCATGTAGAGAGAGAGAGAGAGAGAGAGAGAGAGAGAGAGAGAGAGAGAGAGAGAGAGAGATTGCGTAAACTAACACAAATGTATCATTTATCAAGGGACAGGAGGGAGATAGAATGAAAAATTACCATCTTATAATAAGCTTAATTAGATCACCTGAAGAATCTCCATCCCAGCTTATTTCACCTAAAGATTAACCAACCTAACGCTAACCTAACCTAACCAAACGTAATCTAACCTCATCCTCCCATATAACAGTATTAGAGTGGTTAATATTCAGGTGATCTAAACTCTGGTGAAAATTCTAAATTCTCCAGGTAATTCCTTAATATATACCAGTTAAATGATTGCTAATACTATCTGGGAAATTATTGCAAGTATCAAAAGCAAACCCGCCTTAACATCGATCAAAGTCAGATGATATACTTTTTTTTTTCGTCAAATTTGGTTTGGAAACTTAGTGTTATCTGACACAGATCAGTAAGTTGTGACGAGTGTGAAGGTGAGGTGAAGTAAGATGTGTTAAGGAGGGAGGGGTGAGTAATGAGGGGTGAGGAGGGAGTAGTGAGGAGGGAGGGGTTAGGAGGGAGGGTGAGGAGGGGTGGTGAGGAAGGAGTGGTGAGTAGTGAGGGGTGAGAATGGAACGATAAGGAAGGAGGAGTGAAGGAAAAAGACTAAATCAAATTCCTCCCATAATACAAGACACAAACACACTTCTTGGCCCATTCGTCACCGTTCACCTTATTTGGGGACCTCACATTATAGCTGGAACTTACCACTCATAATAATAACATAAATCCTCCACCGGTCGCTGTCAAACACACTGACCATGTATCACGTTGAGACAGATGAAGGCAATATTATCCTGTTGTCATCCTCCAGGTCTAAGTGTGGGTGTGACCGTGTGGGTTGTGGGTTGTGGGTGTGGGTGTGGGTTGTGGGTTGTGGGTGTGGTTATGGGTGTTGTGATGGTTGGCGTGGCTACTAGTTCTTGATCTGCCAAGTCTCCTCACGAAAATGTCATTTCAGAGAGGAATCCTATAATGACCAATATAGGAGTTTTTTATAGTCTATATGAAACTGTAGGTTAGGAGAAGCATTGATATAGAGAGTGAGGTTGTCAAAGGGTAATGTGAATGGTAGGAATTGAATGATAAGGAGGTTTGTATAAATGGCTTTGTTGATGGTCAATACTTGATTAGAGTAGCTGCTTCGTGTTCAAGTTCATACTTACTCGTATCAGCCACAATGGGACGACGATGTAGAAAACAATGAGACTTAAGGGGTGAAACTTACTAGCACTGTAAGACTTAAGCCTGAGAGAAAATTGGAAGTGATTGATAACTGCGAAGGTAAACTGCTTTAAGTTCCAGTGTCTCATTTACCCGAAGTACAATATCATTTGTTCGAAAGTTCATTAATCCGAAGCTTCATTATGTTAGACCTTACCAGACTAACGTATAGACAAGAGTTTTATATCAATAAAGTAAATGGAATTAAAAACATACAATAAATACAAAATGGAATCATGTTTTTAGAATCATCTTATTGTAAAAAGTTCACAAGATGTAAACAAACTTCAAGAACGGATTCACGGTCAGTCTTCGAACACTGCGAAGACCACAGAACCTACAGGGTGCAGTACTATGTGTGTGTTGTTAGGGTGGTGAGGTGTGGAAAACTATCCTCAAACAGTGAAATTACACGGAAGAGATATTTTGAAACACTTGAGTTACATAAGTTGTGTTTCTTTATTGTGAAGTAGTTGTGTGATCTTAGTTAAGAGTGAAAATGACATTCAGACAATCAGTAAGGAAAATGAATCGTTCTGAGTATCATAACACAAGGTAAGATTAAAATGAAAACTGTAACTATGACTGTATATATATACTGTCCTTTCCCTCCACACCATCCTTCCTTCCTCATCACCCCTTCCTCACCACTCCCTCCTCACCACTCCCTCTACATCACTCCCTCCTCACCACTCCCTCCTCACCACTCCCCCCCTCACACTCCCTCCTCACCACTCCCTCCTCACCACTCCCCCCTTACCACTCTCCATTGATAGTGTCGACTCAGTCTAGGTTACAGGGTGATGAAGGTCAACACGGGTAGCAGGAAGATAACTGAGGGGCGTCACCTACCCTCTTGATCCTTACAATATTGATGCCATCTCGACTCTCAGCCTCTTCACTATCTTATGGAGATAATTTACCTGTTGATGCATAAAGGTGACAAAAATAACTTTTGACGTTTACGCACAGGAGGTAGTGAGAAAAGGCATGTAAGAGAAGGTATGTTTGTGTGTAGGTAGGAAGGAGGGAAAGGGTTACGTATCTATACACAATCAAAACTTAATAATAAAAACATGTGATCCATTTTGACTTGACTCAAATAATCAGAACACTTTTCATCACCTCACACTGGGTAAATTACGGATCTGACTCACTATGGTAGAAAGTCAACCTCTTGGGGGTCATGTCTTGCTACTGTTGGCAATGTAATTCGATATTAATGATTATAAAGCCAAATAAAAACCTGATTATCTGTATATGGAAGTAAAAGTTAACCTTCGACCCTTTGTCTGACTCCCTGTCGTAAAGTAACATAATACGATAATATTTGATCTAATTATTTCTGACACTGTTGATAAGGATGATAAGTTACTTGACCTTTGACATCATATCCTTCTGGAGAGGTCAACCGGATATGAATGACTGTAATTAAAGCTTACACTCGAGGTTTAAGCTGATAGAAAGTTGAGTAATTTGATACGAGTGATCTTGATACAAAGTTTATGATAACGTCGGTGGAATTTTAACTCTGATGTATGGTGGTTTAACCCCTTGAGTATGGTGATTTAACCCCTGGAGTACGGTGATTTAACCCCTTAAGTATGACGATTAAATCCTTTTAGTAACCACTTGAGGACGGTGATTTAACCCATTGGGTAGGGTGATTTAACCTCTTGAGTACGGTGAGTTAACAGTTTGATTAACCAATTGTAACTCAAGGATTAGTTCACCATACTTAAGGGGTTAAATCACAGTACTCAAGGGGTTAAGTGTGTGTGTGTGTGTGTGTGTGTGTGTGTGTGTGTGTGTGTGTGTTACTGTTACTAACGCATATTAAGGATTTCTCTCTCTCTCTCTCTCTCTCTCTCTCTCTCTCTCTCTCTCTCTCTCTCTCTCTCAGCTCAAAGTCATGGTTACAATAAATGTAAATATTGGCCTATGACGTCAAAGTTTCACTGACTTCAGTAAGTGGTTGTTGTGGGTGATGTACCTGAGGGAGACGCGGCAGGACACACCTCAACACCTCTTATACCTGTGTTTACCTGGAGGAGACGCGGCAGGACTCGCCTTAACACCTGTTCTTACCTGAGAGAGGTTTAGGTAGTCTATTGTCAACACCTGGGATGAAATATACATCATGAATTAACATTACGATAGTGTAAGTTTATACAATATAGAATACAGTAAATACAATACAATAAGAACAACAACACCACGTCTTCAGTATCACACAACTCAAAATTTGCAACTCAAAATCCTGTAAGTGCACAAGGTATTGCCACATAACACAGCCCTAAAGCACACCAAAAACTTATATCAAACACAAACAGTCTAATATGTTTGCCCTGTATGACGCCACCCCAGTGAAGAAATAACTGAACTGGGAATGTCAAGTTTTTATATGCAAGTAGTGTGGTGCGTTGGAGGTAACTGTGCAGGTGTTGAGCGCTCGTGTGTGTGTGTGTGTGTCGACATGTGGGGTCAAGGTTATGAAGGTCACTGTGGCCTTTAAACATGTGGTGGGGTGTTGGGTTACTCATTCTACAAACACCTTCTCTAAGGCCAATATTTATTATCTCTTCACGTGTTCAAAAGTTTATATCATTTTATGTTTGTAAACTTTGTCCTGTCATGGTAGAGAAGGCCATGATAGGTGTGTTGGTCTCCAGGGTCTTAACATGAAGTAATTAGAAGGGTTACTCCATCACCTTGGCATGATGCACCTGTTTTGTACTACTCAGTCCCACGCACCACCTCTAATTTCTGTCGCCTTGCATTAACCCCACACAAAATTAGGAGAGGAGTACAAGTAAATAGAAATATATAAACACCTAAAAATACTTGATAATATGATAAAAATGTATCTTATCTAAGAGAAGACCTCGATATATAGATCAACTCCAAATTATTCCAAGATATTTATCCTCCCCTTCCCACAGGCGTCACGCAGACCCTCGACTTTCACACCTTATCAAGCACAAGACTTGATCTGGACTATCTTTCACCTCAGTATAGTGTGTGTGTATGTTAGTCGTGTCTTCGCCTAAAAAGAATTTCATATCAAATAGGCTTAAGTCCTATTTGGGGCCAGTTCTAATAGGCGCCAACCTAACCTAACCTCTTAACCTGCCAAGCAATATTTTCATTAGTATCGGCGCCCAAAAGGACTAAGGAACATTGGGATTTCCTGGCCAACCCGCTTGTGTGTTGTATAATGTTGGGATCAAAACTCACTTCAGCTAATGACGTCTTGTGTCCACGGGGATGTACACAGAGGAAGAGAAGACGATACCCCTTATAGGGACTTTGTGATGTGATATGTTGAAGTAAATATATTATTATACCCAATGGTAGAGAAAAGTGTTTAGAAAAAGAACAAACCTAAATCAGAAATATAAGAATAAACTTAAAAGAAAACGAAAAGCCAAGTGAGGTCGGCGGAGGCCACAACTGCAATACTCGGGGTTAAACACTTCTCACCACGCCCCTCCTGCCGTCCACCTGATTAACAACTGAGGTCAGGTGAACTAGATACCGTGGCACCCGTGGGCAGCTCGACCCAGCCAATCATAATAGGGCATGTAGGCGGGGCTTATTTTACCAAACCAAAATAACCAAATTTTAAGTAACTTAGGAATCCTATTGTAATTTTGTTCACCATTTTAGCCATAATTTGTACCAGGGAGTCATTTTATTTTTTATTCACATCTCTTTAGGTATAATTTAGTGTAGGCATCTATAGGAACAAAACAGCAAATTCGATCAAAAATGACTAGATTGATTTCTTTCATTACAAAACTGTCTATTTTAACTATCATACAGATTTTTTGTGTGTATTAATGTAATAAAATAAAAATCCAATTAAATAACAAGAAAACCTCACTACAAATAAGTAACAATAAGAAGAAAAAGCGAGAAAAAAAGATACATTACACACAGAGGGACACGCCCACCTCCTCATTAGGTAACAACAGGTGCTCGCTCCAGGTGGGAAAAACTCAGGTGTGTGTGATATCGTTAACTTAACACCTTCCTAAACTGATGGTGTGAGCTTATGACCCAGCTGGAATTTGGGTGACCCTCTCCTTTCATCATTCCCTCCTCCCACCTTCATCATCCATTTTCCACTACTTTCATCATCCATCCTCCACCATCACCCCTCCATCTCCACCACCATCACTCCCTCCACCATCAGCCTCTCCATCACTGTCAACCCTCCACCACCCTCACCTGTGTTGGTCACTGGTCAAAGGGCACGACTCAGACCTGAGATCCTTTAAGTATAAAGCGAGGTTACGAGAGGGCAGTGTTGGTGCATGTACTGAGTGTTGGTCTAACCTCTCTCTCTCTCTCTCTCTCTCCACACACACACACACACACACATACACAATTAGAATCCGTTCATCACACTGTAATCAAAATACCAACACTAACACACACACACACACACACACACACACACACTACATAACCTATACATAAGACTCTCTCTCTCTCTCTCTCTCTCGTATGTTAAGTGAAGGAGGTGGGGTAAGACCAGTACACAACACCCTCATTAAATATTAGTGAATAGAACATTTTTAACCCAACACAAAAAACAGCTTTGGGTCAGCCCTCTCTCGGTGGCCTAAAGCAACTTAATTCCTCTCGTGTTGTTTTTCTGGTGTAGTAAAACCTCTATATAATGGATTTCTACATATAATCCGTTAGAAGGAGGTTTTGCATTTAACGGACCCTCGATATAATGGACTTTCCTCTCCTTTTGGGCCGTTGAATAGAGGTTTCACTTTTTTTCTATTATGAAAATGAAGTAAAGGTTTGCCATCAGGGTGAGAGAGAGAGAGAGAGAGAGAGAGCAGCATACATATCTTTCGTTGCCTTAGGTTAGGTTAGGTTATAAAGTTACGTGTTGGAGAGTACAATAACACACAGCTCTAACCCTTACCACTTACTGCAGAGGTTTCACAATATACCCGACTTGTATATGAAATAAAACCTATATATAAAACAGATTGAAATAAAACAAATCAGAGTTAGAGAATTGGATTTATTTTTTTTGTTAATGTTTTACTTTTTTTGTAAATGTTTGTTTATTTTGGTGTTGTTCGTGGTGGTGAAGGGCGTGGTGTGTTAAGCCTTTGTGTTTTGTCCCCTAACATCAACTAATACTTTTAATTGCGATAAATACATAGTTTTCTTATCAGATTTAATTAACCCTGGAGGTGTTTTGAGTCAGTATTAAGTCCAGTCTTGAATGGTACACGAAACCTTCAATCAGTTTGCAATGTTTTTTTTTTCCGAGTCACCGTTCACGTAGTAAGGTACAGTCTGAAGATTACCGTCGGGAAGCTGCACGTAGTACGACCCCTTGATGTCACCATGAGACTCCTGGTGACCGAAGTCGTTGCCTGAGGGTGAGTTTTTGATAGTTACTTAACCTCTTCATATTACTGGAGAAGATTTTAGATTATTTTCCATAACTTGCTCTCGGTTAAGTAGTTTTTAGACACATTTCCACCCACGTCTAGGCTACAGCACCACCACCATAGCATTGTGTATTTGAACAAGTGAAAATGTTTTGGCTACACTTCTCTTCACGTCTCGTTTCAGATACCTTAATGACACACCACCAGAGACAAATTATTACTCCTGTACTTCAGAGATAAATATGTATTTGTATTCATATTTCATAATAAAGTCACTGATTCTGCTTACGATAACGATAATGTCGCCCCTTAGGCTACACTAATTACAGGGCGATCCACCGAAGGTATATTAAGATAATCAAAGTCCCTTGAGAGTGAAAAGACTTAACACCCTTTATTATTAAGTCAATGGCGTATGAAGGACTTACCTACTAATTATTATTGACAGTGAAGCCGCCAGGTGAGTTTTTCCTCAAGGGGTAGCGATAAGGTGGTGAGGCACGGCCCTTGTGTGGTGAAGTGAGAGGCACGACCCTTGTGTGGTGAGATGAGAGGAACGACCCTTGTGTGGTGAGGTGAAGGTGTTGTGTGGGTGTTGTGTCTGTGGTGAGGGTGTTGTGGTGATGTGTGGGTGTTGTTTGTGTGGTGAAGGCTTTGGGTTGTGTCTCATATCCTGGGTTCTCTCTCTCTCTCTCTCTCTCTCTCTCTCTCTCTCTCTCTCTCTCTCTCTCTTTCCCATACACAAGAAAACTTTTACTTTAAGGTCAGAACCGGGTTGCCAGATTCGTGTGTTTACGAGGAGTTCAGTGACCTATTCATGGCCACATAAATCAGCGGAACCGAACCCGAATTTTACCTTAGGTTAAGTTTGGTTTGTTATTGTTACGGTTAGAATAAGTCAGGTTAGCTATTGCTTAGATTAGGTTAATTAAGGTTATATTAGGTTTGATTAGGATAGCTTAGGTTGGGAAATGGTAGGTTGGGGTTTGTTAGAGGTTAGATTAAGTTAGATTAGTTTATGTTAGGTTAACTTAAGTTAGGGCATATTAGGTAAGATTAAATTAGACTATCTTATATTAGCTTAAATTGGGGCCTGTCAAGACTGAAACCTATCGGGAGTGGGGGCCCATTGGACCAGTTACCACATGTTGCTGGGTCAAGTTGGGTGCAGACGTGGGAAAGTGACCTGGACTCTGGGTTCAGTCGTCTCGTCACACATGACCTGATATGATATTCCTGGGCTTATGTGAATTACCTAATCAAGAGGACCTGATGATCTTTTGGTTGGGTTATGTCATATGGGAGAGGGGAGAGGAAGAGGAAGAGGAGGGGGGAGGGAGGGAGAAGTGAAAGGCAGACAAGAGATAGACAGAAGGAATGGAGAGAGAAGGATAGATAAAGTGACAGGGAGAGGGAGGATGGAGATAGAGAGAATAGGAGATAGAAAGAGGGGGAGAGGAGGATAGGAGGAGAGGGAGGGAGAAGTGAGAGGCAGACGAAAGATGGACAGAAGGAATGGAGAGAAAATGACAGAGAACGGGGGATAATGATAGAGAGAGAAGATATAAGAGGGAGACAGACAGGGAGAAGGAAAAAATGAAGACAGACGAGAGATAATCAGAAGGAAAGGAGAGGGAGAAGAGAGAGAAGCTGAAAGAGGGAAAGAGGGAAGGAGAGACGGATAGCTGGAGATGGAGAGATAGAGAAAGAGGGACAAGAGGGATGTAGACGAGAGACGGACAGAAAAAGAGGAGATAGAGAAGGAAACTAACAGACTAATAAATCGACCGTCTGACTGAATGACTAACTGACTAATTAACTGAGAGAAATTTTCATCCTTCCCTCATCATCACAAGATCACAAGGTATTCAGATAACACTCTTGGTAGTTAAAACTTAATTATATATCCTGAGGCGTATAATTACTCTCCTTCTCTCTCTCTCTCTCTCTCTCTCTCTCTCTCTCTCTCTCTCTCTCTGTGTGTGCTGTGGAGAATGTGGTCATCTTTACTAGTCCGTCGCTACAACACTCATGGTAGACGGTAGAGTATTAGTGGACGTTTATCTACACTAAAGAAGCAACCCATTACACAACATGTTACGACACAACACCAGGTAACACAACACTAGGTAACGCACATCAACACCAGGTAACACATTATAATACCAGGTAACACACAACACCACCAGGTAACACAACACCAGGTAACACATCACATACCACAACACCACCACACCCTAGAGTCGTCTTGTACACATCATGGATATACATTGTACTGCTGGTATTGAAAGCTGTAAGTATATATCCCTCATGCTAAACTATACAGTATACAGTCGTGTGTTCAACTTGATAATTTATGTCAACATACTACAGGTCCCGAGGTGGATATAAAATGGTGGATTATTATTAGTTTTGCTGGGCTTATGTTCCAGGTTCTCTTCTCACCATCACGTGCCAGTGGACGGCCTCTGTCTCGTCCAGCTGTTAAACATGTCATGATACAGGAAGTACATACACATTAAAGTTCTGTTTCAATGATTTAATTTATTTTAGATAAATATGAATACATATATTTATATTTGCATAATATATTCTCAATAAAGATATGTACAATATAATATAAGCTTTGGAGGATGAGTAGTTCACTACAGCACAGCCGCGTTATCTCTGTAAGTCAGTTTGACTACCCGTAGGTTGGCCTGGGAGGGGCGTAGCGGGGAGCCTCCCTGGACTCAAAGGATTCAAAGGACTCGTATGAGTCGGGGTAGCGAGCCTCACCCTGGTAGCTGACTTCAGCCACGTAGCCTGAGTCACCGTCCACGTAATAAGTCACAGTCTGGAGACGACCGTCGGGAAGGTGCACGTAGTACGACCCCTTGGTGTTGTCACCATCACGAGACTCTTGGTGCCCGAAGTCGTTGCCGGAGGGGTCGTGCTTCACGGCGTAGTTGAAGTTGTACTGAGCCTCACTAGACTCATAAGACTCAAAAGACTCTTCGGAGGAGAACTGTGTGTTTTATATAAATAATTAGTCTAAATATGGAAAAGTTTAAACAACAGTTCTTATGTTAACTTACTTATACTCACACCACTTCAGCGTACATATATTAAATAAACATGAAAAGTAAAGACACATTTGTTTTTATCATATTGACAATGTCTTCCATAGTTAATTATGTAAACATAAAAGAGAAGTGGTGGGGTGTGCGTCTTCTCACCTCAGGGGCACCGTAGGAGAATGAGGGGCGCCTGTCACCAGTAGCCGCGGCCACCACCCCCAGCACTACTAACAGCTGCACGTGATGGGGAAACGAAATAGCGGATAAGTAAACTGATAACTAATTAAATGAATAACATACATATCCTACGCCAATTTATTTGTATTTTTTATTAGATTCTTAGATATTTTGAGCTATTGAAACTTCTGAAAGACGTCTTGGGAGTTCATTCAAAGTTTACATTCAATTCAAAACTTATATCTGAGAAAATAAAACAAAACCATTATGGGACGTCTATATAAACAGACATACAATACAAAAACTCTGTCTAATCCCAAAACTGACAGTAACTCTACAGTCTATAGACAAGTGACGGTGAACAAACCTTAGCGATCATTGTGTTCACGTGGCGAGAAGTACACTGTGAGGCTGGCATGGAACTATCTTTATATATACCTCAACGTGAGCGGCGTCACGGTCAGGTTTTTGCCCGACCTTAGAGTCGCCGCAGGAAAAAAACGTCACTTAGCACAGTACGAGTCTTTCCCAGCATGTTGGCGTTGCGGACCCCACCAGGTTCAGTTTGCAGTTATGAAAAAAAATCTATCTCTATCTCTATCTCTATCTCGCCTTCTTTCTATCTCACTTTCTCTCTCTTTGCCCTACCTTGAGCAACAGGGCAGTGTTTCCTGCTCAGGTACAAGGTCACCTCACGACCTTTCCTTCCCGCGCCCAACACAGACCCGCCTGGGTGGGGCTCCCCACAAGGTTGGTTTCTGGTATATTACGTCCTCTCAGTTTTCTCTTATAAGTGGTGTGCCTTAGTCACGCCTGAGCCGCCACGGAACGGTATCAGATTATGGGATCCAGCTGGATTACGCACTCAACGTTGAAAGACTTATAGTGAATAAATAAATAAACAAATAAATATATTACTGTTACTAATAATAATAGTAGTAGAATATATAATTGTAGTCATAGCCAGACAGAGGTGTTTACGTAGCGTATGAATAAGATCAAACTTTCTTCCTTACTAACAAATTGCTCACCATATTTGTATCGATAAACATGACCCCATATATGGCACGACGTTGTCTTAACATTGTGCTATTATTCATGACTGTGACGTATCTCCCCCTTAGCCTCTGCAACAACGAGGGTCAATAGAAAATTATGGCGGAGTAGCGAGTTTATGGCCGCGCGCCTGACTTTGTGTTGTGGTGCCGAGGATGTTGATGTGTGTGAGGAATGTATCAAGCCGTTGGTGTAGTTTGAGCTGGTGCTTTTACATGTTATTTCCTGATAAGAATAGTTGTAGAGAAATTAATAGTAGTTGCTATTGTTGTTGTGGTAGTAGTAGTTGTTGTTTTGTAGTTTAATTTAATCCTTTTGTTATTTCTTATGGTTAGCGTAATAAGTTAAGTAAGGACAGGTTTTAAGAGTGTCCAGTGGGCATATCAGAGGTGATGGGAAGTCAGGAGTGGTGAGTATTGCCCTGTTGTAGGTCATTTGGTTGCCAGCCCTAATAGGTCTTGTTCCTCATAGGCCCTAGTCCTAAAACGCTACAGTACAACTTAACTTAACCTATCCATTATGGCTTGGTCCCCTCAGACCTATATTAATCGTATATATCTCATAGTCAGTATGTAATGTTTCTTCCCTTGTTATAATATTATGTCAAAGGTGAACGACCATCTCTAAGGCTTCCACAGGTCACAGCATCAAATTGTCATACCTGTCAATTAAGCAATACACCTGATTATAACTAACCTGTAATAGCGAACACTGGGCGGAATTCGACTGAGTCATACCTTATGTTGTCTGTCTCTCGTTATCTTAAATGTAAACAAAAAGGTGTTAAAGACATACTTAACCTGTTTGAGTTTGATTAATTATTTTGTATTGTCTACCTGAGCAACATCACTTCACCTGTGTAATGTTGAAGTTCTTTACACAAAAACAGATAAATATAGATTGGATGATGTACGGTGGGTGTAGGGCGTATCTGTGTGTGTGTGTGTCTTAGCATGGAATAAACTAGACGAGCGGCCTACATTCCCTAGAAGGAGGGCAGGGTGTGAGGGCGGGGTGACCCTACCCAACCTGGTGTGTCTGGAGAGGTGTGACGCAAGTGTGTGCGGGGCTCAAACCAGCTCACGCAAAGGAAACCCTGTGTTGTTATTGTTGTCACACAGAGATGGTCGTCTACTGAGATATACAGTACATGCTTTTGTAAACAATGAATCAAATTTGTATGATGTATGGTGTTGTATGATGTTGCCTTAACTCTGATGTATGATAGTGACTACCATAACTTTATCCTCTGCTCATTAAGGTTAGGTTAAATATATCCATAGGGGCATTTACGTTTATAATTATCTAGGTTAAGACCATCATTACTGTGTTAAGTAATATAAATATGCACTTCTTTTCATATCTAGGTTAAGACATGACCATTATAACACCATCACAATATAGGAATTCCAGTACATGTATTTTAAACTGAAATTATTGAACTACATTGATATTTCTAAATCAAATCCAAAATACCTGCACCAATTACCATAGCTGTATTATGTACCTGAATACACACACACACACACACACACACACACACACACACACACACACACACACACACACACACACACACACACACACACACACAGGTTACACCACCTTCAGCCTCTGCCTAAGATGCAATTTCGTCATTAATTTCCCGGCAGGTCACCTATCACGAGCCTGACCTGATGCAAGTTATACATTGTTTTAGCAAATTTTCCCCGGTGTATGTGTGTGTGTGTGTGTGTGTGTGTGTGTGTGTGTGTGTGTGTGTGTGTGTGTGTAGTCTCCCCTAAAATTATCTCCTCCGTTTTATTTTTGAGATATTGATACCCTTCAATCCAACCTACATACATACATACATACATACATACATACATACATACATACATACATACATTAGACAAACAAACAGACAGAACTCAACACAACAAACAGCTTCCCGTACAAGGTCTTTCAGCCTATTAAGCTGGTAACCATTCAGGTGTGGTCGTGAAGCGTAACTCATAGTGATGAAGCTTAAAGTTCTTGCTGATGATAGTGTTGAATGAAGCATCACCATCACTATCACCGTCATCACCATTACCATCACCACTACCATCACCATCACCACTACCATCACCATCACCACTACCATCACCATCACCACCTCTAGGTCCCAAAGGCATAATCCAGACTACCACAAACACCACATACAGTATTTCTTCCACTAATAAGACTTACGTTATAAGACCACTACTGTCATAATAAAATTTCCTTGCATCAATGGTTCACATATATCAGGATTACGTATTGATGTTAATGTTGGAACTGACTTTTGACTTCTTAGTTTCCTCAGTCACTCTGGTAAGGGCGATAGATATTGTTGCCTTTAATAATAATAATAATAATAATAATAATAATAATAATAATAATAATAATGTCTTCTATATTTAGTGTCGGTCACGAGAAGACAAAGTAAACATAACATTCTCCTTAATCTACAGGTAGACACATCGGCTAAGACAATTTGAGATTTAATCCCATGAAACTGCGGTTATAAAAGCATTTAACACCCCATCAGTAGGGTTAAAAACACCTTCTAACACGATCCTATCCCATGAAAGACTGACACGCGCCTAATTTGTTTATACTCCTTGGAATATTTCGAGTGTTGTTTTTTTTTCTGACTCACTCACTGCTTTCTCCGCCAGATGGTAACCCAGTTAGTAGAGCTTACCGATATAGAGGTGAGCCAAGACAAGGCGGCAAAAACTGGCTGGAGGGTCGTGGGGGAGAAATGGGTGGGTGTGTCTACCTCGCCGTCGCCTTCGTCGTCACCTTCAGGGAGGTCTTAGATGGATGACTACAATCCTAATAGACCCCAACCTGACCACCATTGAGGATTGTGGCCCAGTCTTCATGGGATCCAGTTCTAAGAAGTCTTTCTCATGTTAGATTTCAATCCTAATGGGCCCCAGTTCGAATGGTTACCTTGGGGATTATTAGTACTTGGGCCTGTTTGACCTATGACCTCCTCCCATCCACCAGCAGTGTGATCCCCAGCAACACAATGACTTCTACCGAGGAACAGAAACTGGGGCACAACAAGTCTCGTGTATCTTGATCAGTGTGTGTGTGTGTGTGTGTGTGTGTGTGTGTGTGTGTGTGTGTGTGTGTGTGTGTGTGTGTGTGTGTGTGTGTGTGTGTGTGTGTGTGTATTTTGAGAGGGGGAAGGAAGGTCGTTCACTATGAATCACAAAAACAATTACTAATTTAGAATGATAATCTCTTATGACTAGGGGCCACAGCATAAATCTAACCTAACCTAACTTAATCTAATGTAACCTAACCTAATTCAACCAACCTAATCTAACCTAACCCAAGTAAAACCAGGAATAAAATATGGAATGTCGGTCACTTGTTATAACTGGGAACAATGTGGAAACTCCTAATATTACATTGTAGTCCTTCAGTCGTATAAATTGAGGGAATGAGACCTTCACAGCATGATGGTGGAGATGTGGAACTGATATTATGGTTCCCTTAGAAGATAAAGCCATTGGCAACTAATCAGAATGGCTCTTGCAACAACCTCAGCAACACGAGACTGAATTAACGTTAAGGAAATTGCAGCAGCGTCCATATACTGGAATTGCAGCAACTCTCTGATGCGTGAAGCTCAGGCGCCGGCGTGATCAGTGAAGGGAATTATAACCATAACTGGTCTGGTTGAGCTGTGGTAAACGCCATGTATGTGAGTCCATCGTGGGTCTCACTGTTGCGTACTTGACCACCTTGGCTCACCAGATTATTTCAGGTGAATATCGAGAAATATTTGTGATGCTTGAGGCCTTCTTATATTGCCTTCGTGGCTCTTATACCAGTCAACACGAGAATTAAGAGAAGGTGGTGAGTGATATGACTTGTTTCTTCACTACACCAGCACCGACGCCTTCTGAGACACCAGTGTAACAGTTAGTAAATAGAAATTCGGCTTTAAGATTCAACATTAGTTCATAGTTTCTTCTTTAGTTTTACGAAGGCCAATCAAGTTTACGAAGGACATAAACGAGATATACAGATCATTGGGACCAAAGGAATCGTCTATTATGATGACCCGTTGATCTGCAAACCTTGTTGATTACTTTGATTTATTCCTGCATAAATCCTTAGTAGAAGCTGAGAAACACTCTATTGTACCGTTTTTCAGAGGTTTTGGTCATAAGGGGTTATCGCTGCAGAAAGGAAAGTGTGAAACAAGCCCAGGTAGTGTTAGACTCAATAACCTGAGACCCGTAGGAGAAACGACTAGAAGTTTACATAAGAAATTCCTGGGAACTGGAGAATCGTATCTACCGACGCTATAAGAAATTTTTACTCAAGGTCGACCACTTAGACGGGTTTTTATCCAATAAACTGAACATCTCGTGTCAGACATTAATGAGTACAGGTCTTGGTGTATTAAGTACCATGAGAAGCTGTTTAATGAAGGCCTGCAAGTGATATGTTGGTGTTTTTGTTTGTGTAAGTTGGGGCAATTGACCCTTACACCGGCAAGGTTGCCATCATCACTAACAGAGGGACATAAGGAATGGTGAGTCAGCTGGGGTCTGGACATAGTGGAAAGCTCCTTAATTGTAATGAAAAAAACAGACAACAAACTTAGTGGACTATAAATTATTGTACCTGGCCTTTGGTAAACGGGTAATGTTCTTCTTCAGAGACAAAAAGACAATCACCCTGCCTGAAGAAGGAGAAGGGGAGGGAAAAACCTGCAGGACCTATACCTGGAGATTGCACTAGTCAATGAACCAGACAAGCTTGCTCATCATCTGGTCAAACCTGTCAAGAGCCAGTCAACATTCTACACCAGCTGATCTTTAGACAAATTCAGAAACCGACCGAACTCCGCGACGTAATTTTATGTTGATTGACGTTGGATTTCGTACTTGGTAAAATACATATGGATATCCTACAGCCTCTTGTGGTCTGTAGTTCATAGTTGTGTGAATTTTTCCCTTAACGTTACCCATTTCAACTGTTTCTTGACTTACGTTACGACCAGACTCACTCTAATTTCTTTATACACAATGGTGTCCTCTTTTCAGTCCATTCATATATCGTGTATAAAGCATCAAAGTCTGAGCTTATCGTAGTTTGATCCTAAAGTATTTATTCATTTTGCAAAATTATTGATTATTTAGTAGACCACGTAACTTTGTATAGTGTGTATGGAGATTGAAAATATTATCAGGTGTTTCTGTATGTGTATGAGGAGAGAGAGCAGGATTCATTTTTTACAGCTCCTTCCTGTTACATTCTGCATTTGTCTTGCTCTCGCTTGAACACTTGATCCAGTTTCTATAACAGTGTGACAGGGGTAGACAAAGAGGCCAGAAGAAACATCTCATATTGATTTTACTTTGTCACTAACGAGGTTACCCACAACATAGAGATATACAAATGTGTAATATTTGTTTACGTTGTTTGAAGGAAAGGAAAATGTATGTACTGAATGATTATGATTTTATTTTTCACTTTTCACATATATAAAAGAAGAGCTTCAATAAATAAGAATTACATGTAGCTTTTGTACTAGAAACGATATTTGTCATTTGAGAAGAATTAAATAAATTACTTAGCAAGTTCAGGTGTTTTCGTCTGGGACAAATTCGAGGAACGTGTCCTCTGCTGGACGAGTTATAGTCTTAATTGTACTGGCGTCTGGGTGGGGTGTAGGACCTGACTTCATCAGAGTCAGGGTAGCGAGCCTCTCCGACGTACTTGACATCAGCAATGTAGCCTGAGTCACCGTCCACGTAATAAGTCACAGTCTGCAGACGACCGTCGGGAAGCTGCACAGAGTACGACCCCTTGGTGTTATCGTTGTCCCGCGTCTCCTGGTGACCGAAGTCGTTCTCTGAGGAGTCGTCGTTGACGGCCCAATTGAAGTTGTACTGAGCAGGACCGCTCTCCTCAGATGAAGCCTGATATATATGAAGAAGATCAATAATGCACTCTGGTGGTTATTTCACATACAGTTTACTTTTAGGAATGTCCCATGTGGTAAATGTTACTGTGAGTTATTGGCCAATAGTTTATCATTACTGAGCAATCAATGATAAATGTTGACACTGAATAATGTAGGATATTGCATTACCCGAGGAGCTGAGTAGGAGAAGGAGGGGCGCCTATCAGCAGCAGCCACGGCCACTACACCCAGCAGGAGGAGGATCTGGAAACAAGGTCCTTGTATCATGCCCGAGTGTTACCAGAGATACACAGTAATCCGAATGTCATCTTTGAGAATGGAACTCAAGTTAAAATATTGAAAGTCATATTAAACCAACACAGTTTCGTTGGCTCCTGACATATTCATGATGAGCACAGGGGAGATTATCTGTTCCCTCATTCTTGTATACACGTAACCGAGAATGTCAGTGAGCATTAAAATTGCAGCGTCTTTATCTAAGTTTGTCTAATAGCATGGGTTTGATTTCCTTGGTGTTAAAAATAGTAAATGTTATGCATACTTTGATAAGCACAGGGGGTCATTAAGTGCAAGACAAGACGCCAAAACCTACCTTGGCGTTCATTGTGTCGTGTCGGTGGAGGAAACTTCACTGTCAGCTGCTGGGGAGCCTCGCCTATTTATATCCCATCCTGCGTGACGTAGCAGGACAACTTTTTATACCAGCTATGAAGCTTAGCAGCGCTAGAAAAACAATTTAGGACGGGGCGTTATACTATTTGCTCTCTCCATGATGGGGGGTAGCTGAGTCACTTACCACAACAAGATGTAAACATTTGTACAACCCCGACAAGAGGAAAAAAGCTGTAACCAGAGTAGTGAGAGTGGATACCCGTCCCAGACGCGGGTGATGAAGGTCAGGGTCTGAGCGAGTGACCTTCAGAAGGCAGGAGGTAGGCTAGACGCTCTCACAAACGGGCTGGGGATCATCACTGTCTACCACCCTCTGTCTCCTGTCACTGTGCTAATATTTATTCGTTTATTCATCTACCAATTGAACTATCTATCTATTTATCAACTAAGTCATATTTTTTTTAATATATTCATTTATATACGTTACTAATCTACTCATCTTATAATTATTTATAAATTATTTTTACCATCATTTACGTGAGGGTAACATCCATTCGTTTGTTTGTCTTCTCTTTCCTTTATATCGCCTTTTATTTACTTACACATTTTTTCTATTCATTAATCATCCATTTTACTTTCTGTCAATTCATAATACAAGTCAATTGTGTCTTGTACTAATGGCTGGTGTACACTGGTCATGTTCTGTGGTCGGGGAGGAGAGCTGACCACTTAACCTAACCACACCAGAATGAACGTGTTGTTGCATCTAGCGTCAGCCCGGATATTTTTTCCCCTTTGTAATTTATTATTAGTATAGATGAAGCAACAGTGGGGTACTGAATATGTGTCGCCTCTTTCTACATGCCTGGTAAATCGCTCTTAATCATGAATTCATAACCTAGAGAAAAAGGTGTTGGATGTCTGTTCCTAACTAGGTGTGTTGTTACTCAAGCCATAGGCAGGGTCACCTAGATAGGATGATCAGTGCAATCCACGGTCTTTGGATATGATGAGTTGCTGTATATATTTTGTAGTGCCTTAAGAACCTTAGAGAACATGGTGTGAGAACTTTAGAGACTATGGTGTGAGAACTTTAGAGAACATGGTGTGAGAAGTTTAGAGAACATGGTGTGGGAACCTTAGAAAACATGGTGTGAGAACTTTAGAGAACATAGTGTGAGAACTTTGGAGAACATGGTGTGGGAACTTGAGAAAACTTGGTGTGGGAACTTTCTTTCCCTATCTCTCTTCGTGGGAATCTAATAACCACTTCGACTGCTGATTAACCAAAGACCAGTGGATAAAAACCTACAGCATTTAAACAGAAACGAGTACAGTTTGACGATTTCACCTTGAAGTTTAAGTAAAGACAAAAAAATCATTAGGTGTCTCTCAAGATGTAGGCGAGAGGCTCAGTCCAGTGCCTCGCCCCAAAAGTCAGGTTTTCATCTGCCGGATTTCATACGTGGTATAAAAAGTTGCCCCGCTACGTCAGTCGGGATGGAATATAAATAGGCGAGGCTCCCCAGCAGCTGACAGTGAAGTTTCCTCCACCGACTCGACACAATGAACGCTAAGGTAACTCCTCCATGCTGAGTTCCCTTTGTGAATTCTGTTTATATGAATAATGTTGTACATTACAAAGAAAACTCAGCTTAAGATCTAGTAAAAACATTTATATATACTATACATATTTTTTTCAGATCTTCCTCCTGCTGAGTGTGGTGGCTGTGGCTGCTGCTGACAGGCGCCCCTCTTTCTCTTACTCCGCTCCTCGGGTAAGTTCAACTGTTGCTCAGCAAGATAATCTCTAAACCCCTCACCCCAGTAGACACAACTTATATGATCCAAATGGTGATGATCTAGTGAGCTTGACAAATGTTAAGTGTAGAGGTTAACACACACACACACACTCGTAGGTTCCCCACGAGGGAAGCCGGGTTTATAATCTTGTAAGATTATAAATGACTCTACTGTAGCATTTTAACTTATTTGGCAGTTTATAAGTATTATGTACACATTGCAGCACTCATCTGAGGAGAGCGGTCCTGCTAAGTACAACTTCCAGTGGGCCGTCAACGACGCCCCCTCAGGCAACGACTTCGGTCACCAGGAGAACCGTGACAACGACAACACCCAGGGGTCGTACACCGTGCAACTTCCCGACGGTCGTCTTCAGACCGTGAAATACTACGTGGACGGGGACTCAGGCTACATTGCTGATGTCAGCTACCAGGGTGAGGCTCGCTACCCCGACTCTGATGAAGTCAGGTCCTACACCCCACCCAGACCCAAGTACGGATAAGATCCCGATTCGGTCTCCTTCATAAGGCTTCGTGTCTCCTCCAGTTCCAAACCAGATGACCTGAACTTGACAATACTTGTTACAAGAAGTAGTTTAAGGATTATTTATGTATATAATCAATAAAAAATAGTCATACTATGACGATTGTTTTTCTCATTAGTGTAAATATTAATTATTTAATATTCATGGTTGTGTGAGTATTTATGATGATTAAATATTCGTGGTAATGTAGATAATCATTACAATATTCATGAAACTAAAAGTACTCATGACAGCAATATTCATGACCGTGAATACTAATAACAAAATATTCTAACCTTATAACCATAAAAAGCAACACAATCAGAATTGATGCACATAAGAAAACACATTATATCGCAGCTCCTAAACTTGAGTGTAATTCATTAACTCCGGATGGTGGTGAAGACTTCCGAGGAGCAACGAAATTCAGTGGCGCCAGGACCCTCGGGAAAATAAATAAATAATGGTTGCCCCTCGTGTAAAAAAGATGGCCGGCCCAAGGGCCACCTTGGCGTTAATTTATTTAAGGTATAGAACCTGTTGCCAACACAACAATCACACACCCTGAGTTAACGAGTTGCATAACCCAGTGTCAAGGAATAGTCCGAGAAAACCGGACAACTCGCCAACTGCACTGGCAAACATTACCCCGGAACACGATCCGTAAATCGATTAACATCCAGGTCCCCAATTACTGCTGGGTAGACAGAGGCAAATGGCGTAAAGAAACTTGCCCACAATTTCACCCTGCCCGGGGATCGAACCCGGGTCCGCTCGCTTGCAAGGCAATTCCCGTAAACAACTGAATATAACCCTGTCACCCCGACATAAGTTATAACAATATTCAGTGGATGAAGGATCGTCTTTTGAGGTTATGGAAGGTGATAAATATATTAGGACCACCTAATGATTAGGCACCCCACAGTATTTTACCTGATAAATAAACACCCTAAAATAATTCTAACTTAAGCTAACCAAACATATGATGAAACGAAATAAAAAATGCATTGAAACTAATGCTATGGCTCCCTATTATGCATTATGAACACAGGTAACTTGTGTTAATTACAAGTAAATTTTTAATTGTGAGGTTTGTTTACGTCTTACGCGACTGCAATGGTTTAAAGGTTCACGTCCTCAAGCTACTGATTTTGTTAACACTTATTATATACAGCCTCCTTCACTAGTGCGTTTACAGGGGCTCGCCATATAAACATTCCACAAATCGTTCCATTGAGATGTTTGTTTTAATATTGTTTTACTTTGATTCCACAGAATGTTTACTACTGTGAGTTTCCTTCTGTTGAATGTCAACAAATACAGCGGTGTCACACTGTACAAAACCTGACGAGCCTCTGTAAACGCACTAGTGAAGGGGACTGGACATTGAATAAGTTGTCTAATTGTCCTAATTTTGTTTGTATTTTATCATTATTTCTTTTTATTGTGGTTGTTATTGTTGTTGTCCTTCATGGTGTTCTTTCGACTGTTCTTACATTAACTCACAGTCATTTGTATCAACGTTTGGTGGCATGACTTATAAGAATATTTTTCTGATAGGGTAATAATAATAATAATAATAATAATAATAATAATAATAATAATAATAATAACAGATAATGATGATGATGATGATATAACAACAACAACACAAATAATAATCATTGTACATAACAGTCCATACACACATAATAACTCACTGTCAGGTCCTTTTAACCACATCACACTCTTACAGGGACACTAAAGTATATATCATCTGAACATTCCAAACGTGGTTGTAGGTGACACATCATTTGGCTGAACACTTACTCTAAGGTGAAAACAATGTAGTGTAAACTGACCTGAATATTTGGTTGACGTGTAACAAGACAACAGAAATTGACTCATTTAATGGATCTAGTTTCTAATTTATTCCCATTTAAGGAGAATTAGATATTACTGATAAATAATAATAATAATACACGATAATAGTAAGGGAATAGACATCCATATTAGCTAACAATATAAGAACATGCTGGGTATTATGACAAACTTTATATCTCCTTTGTCTTCTAACCTTGAGTACATAACAGAGAACCAGAAATTATAGTGAAAATAATACAGTGTGTTTAAACAGCAGTAGTGACCTTGTTCTCGTTCAGGAATGTAAAATTAAGAACAGTACGTCAGGTGTCCCTCGGGGAGTGGGTGTCGACCTCAGCATCGTCTCACACACTGCACAATATCAACGTTTTTCAACAATATCATAAGATTGTTGCAAAAAGTTGCCCCGCTACGTCAGTCGGGATGGAATATAAATAGGCGAGGCTCCCCAGCAGCTGACAGTGAAGTTTCCTCCACCGACTCGACACAATGAACGCTAAGGTAACTCCTCCATGCTGAGTTCCCTTTGTGAATTCTGTTTGTATGAATAATGTTGTACATTACTAACAAAATTCAGCTTAAGATCTTGTATAAACATTTATATATAATATTTTTTTTTCAGATCTTCCTCCTGCTGAGTGTGGTGGCCGTGGCTGCTGCTGACAGGCGCCCCTCTTTCTCTTACTCCGCTCCTCGGGTAAGTTCAACTGTTGCTCAGCAATATAATCTCTAAACCCCTCACCCCAGTAGAAACAAATTATTTCATCTAAATGGTGAACTTGACTCATTTTAAAGGTAGAGATCAACAAACACACACACAAGTGACTTCCCTCCCTAAGAGGGAAGCCGGGTTTCTAATCTTGGGAGATTATAAATGACTCTACCGTAGCATGTCAACATAATTAGCAGTTTATAAGTAATATGTATAATTGGCAGTTTATAAGTATTATGTACATATTGCAGCACTCATCTGAGGAGAGCGGTCCTGCTAAGTACAACTTCCAGTGGGCCGTCAACGACGCCCCCTCAGGCAACGACTTCGGTCACCAGGAGAACCGTGACAACGACAACACCCAGGGGTCGTACACCGTGCAGCTTCCCGACGGTCGTCTTCAGACCGTGAAATACTACGTGGACGGTGACTCAGGCTATATTGCTGATGTGGGTTACCAGGGTGAGGCTCGCTACCCCGACTCTGATGAAGTCAGGTCCTACACCCCACCCAGACCCAAGTACGGATAAGACCCCGGCCACTGTCTTTTTGGGATGATTTTTTTCTCCCTTTACACATCCCTGAACCTGGAAATACTCAACCTACAATGTATGTAAGCAATTATTTATTACGATGTTGAATAAATAAATTTTCATATCATGCTGATTTTGAAGCTCCTTTTAGGACAATATTTATGTACAGGGTACCCAGTTGTACCCACATACCCTTAGTCGGTTGACATTAGGGAACTAGATTTGGTTAAAAAGATGTTTTATGATCACAAGACATAGTTGGGTGATGGCGGCTTAAACACGCATAGATGTTCCACCACAAGATGAGTCTCAGTTCATGTTGGAGGAGGGAGAAGTAAACAAACCACTCCCAGACACTCTCTCTGTTAGAGGTCTGGCAGCAGCTATCACCTTATTCATACAATATTAAACCGAAGATATTTTGACAATGTATATCAATAGTTATAACTCCTCAATGGATATACCAGAAAACACCGTCATAATTTTTCTTATACTATACATAAAAATTTATGATGAATTAAAATTGATCACAAGCTGCATCCACGAGTAGTGCGTCTCACACTGTCCAAGGGTGCGGAAAGGAACCTGTGAAGGGATCAGGTTGGTGGTGCGGAAAAAGTTAACGTCATGCAACCATTCTGGAAAAAATTGCATTGAGCTAACTACTGCAGCTAAAAGATAATCGAAAATAATTATATACATCTAGGTGATCTATACCTTAGGTGCTCGGTCAGAATACCAAACACCATCATTAACTTGAACTCATTAAGGAACTTCAAATATAGGCTGGAGAGATTAAATGATAAAGGTTGGGTGTAAACGGGGCTGCTTATTATAATTTCCTCCATTCTTATGTTCTTATGTAATATCTTAACAGGACTTCTTATAAACTTTTGGCCAGTAACACAACATCTGGCAAGGGTGGTCTGTACATCTAATGGCGTTGTCCTCGATGATCCTTACCCATAATCACGTAGGATTTGTTTTTGTTATGATCCTTCACCTCATTTTAGGTCTATTTACAATAACAGGTGGCACATAAGTCGCTTTCCCGAGAATAATTACTTTTTACAATAGTTCTTGATACAGTGAATTACGTGCCACCCTGTAATGTAATAATAATAACGGTTTATTGAAAGAGCTTGGCAGCCATGAAAATTTACAGTTACATATTTGGGGAATGGGTTACGAATTACAAATAATACAAGGTGACACAAATAAGACATATAATAACTTAGATGGGGATCAGCTCAAACTACAGTTCATTTCAACATAGTGACAGTGTAAGGAGCAGTGTTTATGAATACACTGATTTATTACATGTTATTGATAATTTTTACAATGGTTGGGACACGATCAGTTCGTGCACGTATGGGCTGGATGCGGTTGTGGTGTCGAAAAATATACTGTCAAGAAGCTTCTTACCAAATTTGGATGAGGTCGTGGTGATGGTCAGTTCGAAAGGGTCCTTCTTGATATGGTAGGAAGGGGAGAGAATAATCTTGCATGCCCTCTTTTGCACTTACGTTGTGTGGCATTTAAGGAGACCAGTAGGTGAGCTTTCACTTCCAGGAACCAGTTGAGTCTGGAGACTTCAACCATCAACGAGAAAATCCTAATATTGGGACAATGTCGGACCCCCATGGTCTTGAAATGGTGACTTGTTGGTGGCCCATTTTGGAGACTGTTCAATAAATCCTGGATATACTTCCCAATGTGTATGTTTCGAGTACCAATGGCCCACCAACACATATTTATAACTCAGCATAAGATGGACCATTACGGCACACTACGAATATGTATAGCAACTTTATGTACTGTAACCTCACTATTAAAAATATACTCAATGGCTTAGTAGTTCCCTGAGGTTAATTAAAAGAAGTTACTTTCATTCCACCAGTCTCTTCAACATCAACGAGAAACCTAATATTTTGACCCCAAAGAAACTATGAAGGCCATTACTTCCTGTGTATGTTTCGAGTACCAATGGCCTCCACCCCCCGCCCTCCCATTATTATCATGTAGTCCTAAGGCTTATCTTAATCAAATTCACGTTCTTCTGGGAGTGAGGTTTCTTTAGCCTCCAACAATATAAACTGTGACTCATTGTATTTAGGATCATCTCTGAATGTGGTTTAGTTCCTATACAATATCTCGTGATTATATTCTAGTTGTTTGTGACCTTTATGTGACTTCCTCTTAAGAGTTTATAATGGGTTTGTAGATACATCTTGGTGTCTTGGTTAAAGTATTGTCATAAAAGTAAAATTCAAAGCCAGCATAGAATGAAAATTATTTTATTCAATATCAAAATATACAATTGCATAAATATACTGTAGGCTGAGTATTGCCAGGTTCAGGTATGTGTTTTCTGAAGATAAAGTTAAATCATTGAACATCCTAAAGAGACAGTGGCCGGGGTCTTATCCGTACTGGGGTCTGGGTGGGGTGTAGGACCTGACTTCATCAGAGTCGGGGTAGCGAGCATCACCCTGGTAACCCACATCAGCAATGTAGCCTGAGTCACCGTCCACGTAGTATTTCACGGTCTGAAGACGACCGTCGGGAAGCTGCACGGTGTACGACCCCTGGGTGTTGTCGTTGTCACGGTTCTCCTGGTGACCGAAGTCGTTACCTGAGGGGGCGTCGTTGACGGCCCACTGGAAGTTGTACTGAGCAGGACCGCTCTCCTCAGATGAATACTGGAATATGTGAATAATAATATATTGTACTGTACGTTCTATTATAGTTGTAATTATAATTTTATTTCATGTAGGTTGCCATTACCTTTTCTCTGTGAGATCTTTTAGTCCAAAAGTATATTTATTTATTTGATGGTAATCTAATGGCATCATGCATGCAGACACAAGTTGTCTATAGAGAACAGCAAAAGGATGATAAGTGAGTGAATTTTTGGTAGTCTCGCTGTTGAACTCACCCGAGGAGCTGAGTAGGAGAAGGAGGGGCGCCTGTCAGCAGCAGCCACGGCCACCACACCCAGCAGGAGGAGGATCTAGGAATAAAAAAAAAAAAGTTAAATTTATATAAAATTTAAGATGTACTATGTTCACTAAATGTAAAATATTATTTATTTATACATAATTAAATAAAAGACAACACAGGGTATTTGAGTCTACCTTAGCGTTCATTGTGTCGTGTCGGTGGAGGAAACTTCACTGTCGGCTGCTGGGAGCCTCGCCTATTTATATCCCATCCCGCGTGACGTAGCACCACAGGTTTTTGTAACACTTGATGACACTGACGAGGAGAACCTGATATATGTAGCCAGATGTTGCCACGAGCCCCACACCCACACCTCAGGGGGCTATTGACGAATTGTTCCTCTTAACTAGACATCCAAGAGAGAGTGTGATGCTTGTAATGTTGTTTTAGGATGAGTTTCAGTCTGTTATGCATTTAAGGTCACGAAGTATTAGAAATATAATGGTTAAAACTGTTTCTTGTGTTGGTGTTTAAACAAATATTATTATTATTTTATTATTATTATTATTATTATTATTATTATTATTATTATTATTATTATTATTATTATTATTATTATTATTATTATTATTATTTAGTGTCCAGCAGAATCACAGTACACAATAAATCTGTCACAAATTATGTTAGTTGAGGGCGTGACCAACTGAATCGTGACTCTCCTATGAATCAAGATACACATTACTAGGCCAAGGTTTACTTCTCTTCACCGATATATAATTTAGGAAGCTGAACACATATCAAAAAGAAAAATTTAAGTCCATGTTAAATCTTAAATGGTTTTTGTCTTGTGTATGAGCTCTCTTTGTCTATGTGTGTGTGAGGAATTTAGTTGTTGACGCGAAGGAATACATGAACGGATTTTCTTATGTAGGATCTAAATATTTGCCTTCGGTTTTTCTTCTGATGTTTTGAATTAAGGCTTATGATATATTTCAGCTCAGAAAAAATTCCTAAAACAAATTTCAAGATGATTTTCTATATTTTATATGTTTATTATTTGACTTTTATTCACAGTTTACCTTAATATAGCTTTAGTGAGTTTGTGGTGTTCATTAACCAGAGTTCTTAACAGTTCATATTGTCTCTTGGTCTTTTAATAGGAGCACAATAGAAGAAGGAAGGGACTATTGTTAACATAAAGGAAGAGATGTGTAATGTTTATTGTGTTTTAAGTTACGTCATCATCCACATGCTAGCAAACATTTAACATTGAACTTGGTAGTGTATGTGATGTTGAATGTTCTTTGTTTATTAATACAGGCATAAAATATTTTTCTGCTAACAAATCAAATGGTAGTTGTAAAAGAGATCAACTGAGGCTTCAAGAGGGGGTCGACTTCAGTTATCGATCATTACGCGAGGCTCGACTTCATTCACGATAACAGACACAGTTTCACACATATCCCGAGGCGAGTATGCGCAACATCTCGCCCCAGATAACAGGTTTTCCTCAACTGTATCATCTAAGTGTTGCAAAAAGTTGTCCCGCTACGTCACTCGGGATGGGATATAAATAGGCGAGGCTCTCCAGCAGCTGACAGTGAAGTTTCCTCCACCGACTCGACACAATGAACGCTAAGGTAGACTCCTGCCTCCAGAGATCTTTTCGTGAATGTATATTAATTTATTCAACACAATCACCATCAAGCTTGAGATTTTAAGTATTATTAGGTAAATTTATTACCCTCAGATCCTCCTCCTGCTGGTTGTGGTGGCCGCGGCTGCTGCTGACAGGCCTTCCTTCTCCTACTCTGCTCCTCGGGTAAGTCCTATATCAATACCCGGAGAAATTCCGCTGCACTTATTAATCCGGCAGATAATATTATAAGATTTAAGTAATGGGGAAAGCCTTATTAGCTGTCCCAACTCCTTAGAAAAAGTGGTACCGAGGCAAGTCATTCAGTGACTCGCTGCTCGGAACTACGACAAAAACTGTCATTTCTAGTTCCACTGATGAGTCACCAAAGATATTTGAGTGTATTTTTTTCCTTGTGTGGGATAAACCATTGTACTGTAAGTATGTTAAACTCTTGAATATCTTATATCTAATCTATTGAAAAAGCCAGAAACTATTTAGTACATTAAGGTTAATATCGCGAAAATATAAAGGCTAGAGGAAATACTGCCCTCAAGGCAGACATATTCAGGGTGACGTTATGACGAGGATATGAATCTTGATGAGAGGGAACACAAATATATTAAATAATGGTCTTACTAAAATAATTATATTGATCATGTTTTAACACCAATGTGTCTGAACCACAAACAACGATTTATTCACGAAAAAGTTAACATCTGTTAAATTTTCTTTACAGCACGCTTTTATCATTAATCTAAACATCGAAAAACACTCCCACAATTTCAGATTTCCGGTCATAGTGTAACACAACTTATATGAGACATTGTATATATATTTAGTGATCGTTAAATAGTATTTAATGTTACCCTTGTTCTGTATTCCAGTATTCATCTGAGGAGAGCGGTCCTGCTCAGTACAACTTCCAGTGGGCCGTCAACGACGCCCCCTCAGGTAACGACTTCGGTCACCAAGAGAACCGCGACAACGACAACACCCAGGGGTCGTACACCGTGCAGCTTCCCGACGGTCGTCTTCAGACCGTGAAATACTACGTGGACGGTGACTCAGGCTATATTGCTGATGTGGGTTACCAGGGTGATGCTCGCTACCCCGACTCTGATGAAGTCAGGTCCTACACCCCACCCAGACCCCAGTACGGATAAGACCCCGACTCTTGTTTTCCTGGAAAAATGTTGAACTGCTGACTCCGGATCATAACCTTCAGTGTATTTAAGCAAAATGTGTTTTATTTAGGAATCAATTAAATTATTTTCATTTACGGATGATTTTCTTTCTCTTTTTTCTTTTTCGGGTGGGGGTCCTTAATACGGCATATACAGGGTGTCTCAAAAAACGTTTTGTCACTAACCTACAATTTTTTTATGGAGACCACGTGAACACTTCTATTATAACAACAAAATTGTCTTCACTGTTGATGTGTGAGGTCTTTCACAAGTGATTAGCAACTAACTGTATTACTGCTGCCCAACAACCCCCTCATCCTCTCCAGATAACATAAGAGATTCTCATACAGTCGATCATCCCTGTATGACCACTGGACAACACACTGTACATGTCCTTTATTGCACTCAACAGAATATTTTACTAATCATCAAAGGGGATACAGTAAGTGTACATGTAACAGTAAATGGTTCACATAAACAATATGTTTGTGTTCATGATAAATAACCATAAATACAACGTTAACTAATAATATAGAACTGTAGAAACCCTTGTACAACATATTTATCATACATAACTGATTCCTCTAAGAAGAAATTTGCATCAAGAACATTAGAACAGATATCTGGGGTTCATTGTTTCAGTTAATTTCAGTTGATGTAAGAGTCGGTATCGCTTTAGGGTTTCAAAGTTAACGTGTGAGTGAACTGACAAGCCAGAGTCAGTTTACTGCTACCTTCGACCATCTCCGGCCACAACACCAGCAACTAGCGATCATTACTGGTGTCGAGCAGCTGTAGCCGTTCCAGAAGATTTGCCTCAGTCTAGGAACACCCATGGAACTAGTGGACACACGAGGTGGTGTAAGAGTGTGTGCTGGTCCGACTGGGGCGGCATCCGATGAGACGTACTGGCATAACACGCTGGAAGAACATTATCAGTCAGCAACCTGGAAGCCAAAAAATTAGGAGATCAGAACCAAAGTTTGTACAAGTTGTATCCATATCTATTATTGATGTTAAGTGACCCCCTTTTGAAATCATTCGTGTGTGTGTGTGTGTGTGTGTGTGTGTGTGTGTGTGTGTGTGTGTCATTATATCACTTGACGGAAAAGTTTGGTGGTCGTCCTCACGGAATTAAGAGGATAAAGGCAGCTACAGGTAGATTTTAGAACGAGTGAGCATAACACCCTCTGTGTACAGTACTAGATTAGGTCTAAAGTCTCGGCATTAAGGAACACAGACGAATGCTACAGATACTTCAGTAATACTTGAGTGTGATATAAATAATGGTAAATATGTTTCTTTTCTATGTTACTCTTAACTTGTCACGTGAGGGTAATATTAAGTTAGTGATTATATCAGTATCAACGTGAGGATTATATACAGGTGACGTGGTTTAGAAGGGTATGGTAATATATATAATGCCCATTGCTTTATTCTCGTTTTGGTATATCAATTATGCAATTTTCAGTTGCTTCACTGTTTCATTAATGTACAGACCAGTCACAGATGCTTTTGAGGGCATTTAAGTTAGGGGTTTTGAGGTCATCAGTTCCACTCTGTCATGCTTCAGAACCGGACAAGTCAGGCGAAAGGGACCAAAATGTCCACTTTTTGAAGAACCAGACTTGGGTCAAATTATGAAATCTCAAGAGTACGGAAAATACAGCCAGACAATAAACCCAGGAGCCAACTAGTTCTGTTACCTATAAAAATCTAATTAATGATATTTCTAGGACCAGTTACCAAAATAATAAACTGTGTTAAAACGCATCAAATCATCTATTTAATTCCAATTTTTATAAGAATAAATTTCTCATTATAGTCTTGGAGAGTTTTGAAAGCATGAGGAAAAGAGTCTAGAGTCATATATATCTCAGTACCAATATACCCGTCCTAGTGAGGTCCCAGTTCTGACGCTTAAGTTAAATTAAGACCTATTAGAGGTCCCCAATACACCAGCCACCTTTCCCAACACCCCCATAGCCCTGGAAAACTGACGTAATTCTTTGAGATTTCAGACTTTCCATCTTGGGGTCCATCAATGCTCCGTCACTACGAAAGATGTTGTCCAGGTTAAATCAGTGTGTGTGTGTTACAGCTCAGTGACCAGGCGAGGTATTGTAATAGAAACTGTGAAGATAACTAACTCTGTGGCCTAGATCCTTGGGTCAGTGGTGAGGAAGAAACGAGACAGACAGATAGATAGAAAAATAGTCTGAGAAAGAGAGATAGACAGGCGGAGAAACAAATACACAGACGGATAAATAAAAAGAGGGATAGATAGACAGATATGGATAATAGTAGTAACCAATAATAGTAGTCATTTAATTTCCTTTCAAAACTCTCCAAACCAAAACTGACTTAAACTATACAGTATACACGTAATCCGATAACGTATATAGGAAACATATCCTTTCACTCGCTATCTTACAACATCATAACCTGGATCTCTGAGGATGATTGGTCGTTGAAGTTTTTCATGAATGTAATATGAAACACATTTACATATTAATGCTCTGCTTGAGAAAAAAATAACGAGTGATGTAAGGTGCGATATTGTGTGTGAAAGTTAGGTGTTAGTTCTCGTGAAGACGGGTCTTTAATTTCTTAAATGTTTTTGATAATTATAAATCAAGTTTTCGTTCTAAGATATCTACCAAAAAATAAGTATGTTTGCTGTCCTTCAGTATGTAGGTGAACCAAACAGCGCAACACCCAGGCCCAGATAACAGGTTTTCCTCAGCAATAACATCAGTGTGTTACAAAAAGTTGTCCTATTACGTCATGCGAGATGGGATATAAATAGGCGAGGCTCCCCAGCAGCTGACAGTGAAGTTTCCTCCACCGACACGACACAATGAACGCTAAGGTAGACTCCTTTACCCTGTGTTGTCTGTAAGTTTTGTTAACAAGAATGTGATCAAATGTAACTGATGTTAGATGATGATGTTCTGTTCGTCTGCCCTCCAGATCCTCCTCCTGCTCGGTGTGGTGGCCGTGGCTGCTGCTGACAGTCGCCCCTCGTACTCCGTGCCTCGGGTAAAATTTAGATCATCATTATCCTGAATATTGTTCAGTAATTTCGCAATCATATGATGATGATGATGAAAAATTTTAAAGATTATATTCAAGTAAATGTTAAATGATTCTTGTAATACATTCCTGTGGTAACAGAGAGATGTACGTTGAACAATTTATTTATTTTCCAGTATTCATCTGAGGAGAGCGGTCCTGCTCAATACAACTTCCAGTGGGCCGTCAACGACGCCCCCTCAGGTAACGACTTCGGTCACCAAGAGAACCGCGACAACGACAACACCAGGGGGTCGTACACCGTGCAGCTTCCCGACGGTCGTCTGCAGACCGTGAGTTACTCCGTGGACGGTGACTCAGGCTACATTGCTGATGTCAAGTACGACGGAGATGCTCGCTACCCCGACTCTGATGAAGTAAGGTCCTACACCCCACCCAGACCCCAGTATGGTTAAGACCCCGACCACTGTCTCAGCAAAGGTGGCTGATTACTATTTTAAACTAAAGTACATTGGTTTTATTCCTGAGAATATGCTATGTTAATCTTGATAACCTATTTATATACTTAAACAAAATTCACTGTACACTGACTCTTCTTGTCCTGCTCTGACCAAACTATTGACACGAATTGAAATTACAAAACATTCGATATTATCCGAAGAAATATTCATCGACGAGGACCTGAAGAGAATCGATAAGATCAGATAAATGTTTCAACATCCCTTTGATCTGTATCAGCTGAGGTTGAATGATTACCTGCAGTTTCCTCGGTTCTGTAAATCTCTCAGCCTGAATGAACCGCAACAATGAAACGGAATCTAGTATAAGTTATCGCCCACAGATACCATGATTATATTTTGCCCATCGTTGACTTTTGACATCCATTTTCCTTCAGCCGTAAAGAATTATTCTCATGTCATCTTAGTGAATATTTCTTGTCCATATTAAAGATAATACAATACACAGTGTGAGATAATTAGAGGAAATACTGAAAATAGTATTGATATTTACATTAATAACAACTGGTTCTGAAATATATTATAATGTACAATGAATCTGTTGGCTAGTTTTCAACATTATTATTATTAGTAGCAGTAATAGCAGCAGTAGTAGTAGTAGTAGTATAATTATTACTATTAGTAGTAGTATTTATAATCTTCAAATAACAATTACAATCATATCTATATATTTTTGCTGGTTTGTTCGTTGTGGCTTTTGTCAATGAGGTGGAAAGAGATAGTTGTCTGGCGTGGTGTGAGAGAGAGGCCTTCTTTGACAAGAAAAAAAATACGTGAATTCATGCATGAATTTCCTGGCACGTGCCTACATGTTGAAATAGTAGTAATATATGTCAAATCATTACCATTAATGAAGGTGTAGCAACAATAATTACTTGGTTAACATAGGGTGCATTAACTCAGTATAACCAGGTAAAGTAGAGTGCTAATGGACTTTTGATGTTAAATTTAAGGATTAATTTTGTAGTTTCACTTAAATTACCAAGTTAGGGGAATTTTTACATATCCTCGTACGAGAAATATTCTTTGTACTAAGATTTGAGAATTTGGAGCCAGTTTTTGTGACTCCTTACCCAGGTCAACACGCAGAGGCCCAACCTTCCCTTGCGTAACCACATGTTCTGTTGGTTATAGTTCTTGTTTGATGAGGAAGTCAGCCTTAGCAACACAGTGTTCTGGTTGTCAACGCCTGGGTCATTACGGCTGTTGTATATTTTTATTTTATTTGGTACTTTAATGTTTTTAAATTTAAAGAAAGGAATATTTATCACATATAGAGTACTTTATATTTATTCGATGCTTGAGTGGGTAAATACATTAGCCAGCCTTGGCAGTAGAGGACGGTGATGACTCCAGTCAGAGTTAACTAATGAAAGCCATAGGAGCGTCTGGGGGAAGAGTAGAAAGGCACCTCGAATGATTCATCAGAGTTTGATACGATATAATGAGACCTGTGAGGAGCGTACACGGGAGCCTTGCGAGACTCATATGCGGGGTACTGAGCCTCACCCTGGTAGCTGACATCAGCCACGTAGCCTGAGTCACCGTCCACGTAGTAAGTCACAGTCTGGAGACGACCGTCGGGAAGGTGCACGTAGTACGACCCATGTGTGTTGTCACCATCACGAGATTCCTGGTGACCGAAGTCGTTGCTGGAATAGTCGTCCTTCACGGCGTAGCTGAAGTCGTAATTTGCCTCTCTAGAATTCGCTGAATACTGAACGAAGTCCTGCACATACACAGAATTAGTATTCTTACTTATCATAAGAAATTTTCATTTAAAGTGGGACATGAAATGGATTATGACTTGTAGTGACACCTTAGTTGAAATAAAGTCCCTTGAGAATCAAAATAGATAACAATACATAATAAGTATTTTTAACAATATTGAGAATATACTTTGGAAAATGTGTTTAAATAGTGAGCTTACAGTATGTTAGGCAGAGTGTAATCATTTGCTCAGGACAATCAGACGAACAACTAAGTGCTTCGAAATTAATGAAGGGATATAACAAGGGTGGGTGCTGGGTCCATCTTCCTTGAGTGTTTTGATAAATGAATAGCATAGGTGGTCTTGGTAATGGAAGACTGATAGTAAGGTAGACAGGTAGTGAATCATGTCTTAGAAGTGAAGAAGGAAAAGTTAAGGTAAATAATAGAACTCACTATAAAGAAACGTCTACTGCATTAATGAACTGAGCTGTAAAGTAATAATTTACAGACGTGTCCTGGGACCTCCACCACTACCTACCTTGGTCCTGGGGGCTCCACCACTACCTATCCTGGTCCTGGGGGCGCTGTAGGAGTAGGAGGGTTGTCTTCCTGCTGCAGCTGTGGCCGCCATCACCACCACCACCACCAGTAAAATTACCTGAAAACGTCAATAACGCTTTTAGAAAATGTCCTCGCCGTTCTCTATCAAACGTGATTATAAGTAATTTTCTTTTGTTTACCGGCAACCTGGACAACGTGATACTTCTACCACTGAGTCCAGTACTGTTTTTCCTTATCTCTGACCAGATCTCTGGAATCATAATAACAGTTCCTAGGTTTATATACCATCATAACACTACATTATATACATTATATATATATAATTAATGTAAACAAACTTCCCTCAGAGGGCCTGGGGAGTGGTGTCCATAACTCACCTGTGTCTTCATCATCAACTTACGCCACAGACTACTGCCTCTTCCTTGGCGTCTCTCTCACTGCCTCTTCCTTGGCGTCTCTCTCCCTTTATACATGTGTTGATCTGACGTCACGGGGCAACTTTTTGTTCATCAGTTCATCAATTGGATAAAAAAAATTAATAAAACAGAGGAGGTCTTTCCCTCACTACACAGCCTTCCTTGGTGATGTCCTCCACACTCCTCCCCTCCAATTTCCACCTCGTGAGCAGCGGTTATTTACTGTTTTTCGTTCTAGATTAGAGAGAGGGAGAGGGGAAGGGAGACAAGACGGAAAACCCGGAGAAAAATAAAGGGTGATTTATTTTTACGATCCTTAGCGTGACAACAGTTGGGTTATTGAGGGAGATATAGAGACGAATGGAGAAGAGGCCAAGAGAGAGAGACACAGAGAGAGAGAGATATGAAAGAGAAAAAAGTGAGATAAAGAGGGAGAGATGCATTCATTTTCAACTGACCCTCAGCAGCTGGGATATTGATACCGTAGAGAGAGAGAGAGAGAGAGAGAGAGAGAAGAGAGAGAGAGAGATAGAGAGATTCCCCTCCCCTTACACAATCATCACAATTACTGGGTCACTAATGCCACACAAACAAACAGACAGACAAGGTCATACTCGAACACTGTGTGGACACTGGACAAGAAAGCGAACAGAGAATCGAGCAATTACTTCGATAACATCAAGGAAGATATTTTCAAGTAGGTTTTTCACACAGTACTAATGACACTAAATAACACTTGAGATTATAAGAGAGACAGAGAGTTAACTTAAGTGTAGAGAAGAGAGATAAGAACAGTGATGCCTTGTAACCGAGAGGTACAAAGAGTTATGTTAAGGCTTAGTGATTGTATATTTTCGTGCGACTTTAGAAGACTTTGGTGATTTAAGTTTATATACAGTACAGTTCGTGGTATTGAGTTAGATCAGCTTAAATTAGGTTAGGTTAGGTTAGGTTAGGTTAGGTTAGCTTAGGGTTAGATTAGGTCAGCTTAAATCAGATAAGGTTAGGGTTAGGTTAGGTCAGCTTAGATCAGGTTAGGTTAGGATTAGGTTAGATCAGCTTAGATTTAAGTTAGGTTGATGTTAAGATGGCTAAGTGCCATAACTACATTGAACCATTTGGATACCTTCTCACAATTCCATTTACGGAATAAACCCAATGCCAGTTCCTTTATAACCCACCCCCCCCCCTTCCCCCGAGCCGCACCCTGTATATACACAACCCACAAGCCATGGGCAGTCACGCTGCTGTTGTTCTTGACCTCTCTTAAGGCTGTCATCAGGGGCACAAATGGTCAGCTTTTCCTACCCTGCAATCCGCCAAGCACCACGCCCGCTCGTCTATGTTGCCCAGTGTTAAAAATGTACCACGGATGTATGTTTACTTTGAGGTTACTTGCCCTCAGTGGATATATAATGAAGTAAAGTTACAAATTTAGTGTGAAAGTAATTGTGTAATGTGTAATATGGTAGGTGACGTGCATAAGGATAGTTCTTGCATTTTTTTTTTACTCAGGTATCTTTTTCTCTAATTCAATTTATTTGAAGGCTACGGAAATTGCATATACTTGTTTCAAAAATTGTCAAGTGAAAATGGTAAGAAAGTTTACCTTAATTGTCACCCTCCATCTGGCCCCCCGTGATAGGCTAGAGACTAAGGCACCTCAGTTACCCAAAGGGATTAGAACGCCTGCAGTTACCTAGCTCATATAGGTTAGATAAATATAAGACGGGAGAGGGGCGACCTAATAGAAGTATATAAAACACACACACACACACACACACACACACACACGGGCAAGGTGTGACCTAATAGAAGTATATAACACACACACACACACACACACACACTCACACACACACACACACACACGGGCAAGGTGTGACCTAATAGAAGTATATAACACACACACACACACACACACACACTCACACACACACACACACACACGGCAAGGTGTGACCTAATAGAAGTATATAACACACACACACACACACACACACACACACGGGCAAGGTGTGACCTAATAGAAGTATATAACACACACACACACACACACACACACACACACGAGCAAGGTGTGACCTAATAGAAGTATATAACACACACACACACACACACACACACACACGGGCAAGGTGTGACCTAATAGAAGTATATAACACACACACACACACACACACACACACACACACACGGGCAAGGTGTGACCTAATAGAAGTATATAACACACACACACACACACACACACACGGGCAAGGTGTGACCTAATAAATACAACACACACACACACACACACACACACACACACGGGCAAGGTGTGACCTAATAGAAGTATATAACACACACACACACACACACACACACACGAGCAAGGTGTGACCTAATAGAAGTATATAACACACACACACACACACACACACACACACACACACACACGGGCAAGGTGTGACCTAATAGAAGTATATAAAACACACACACACACACACACACACACACAGATAACCTTCATTATGGACTAAATATTCACGTTTTGATACATCGAGAGCGTGACCACTTTGGGCACGCGTCTGGGAGTGTTGCGCCAGGGAGCGGTAATGAGGAGCGATCTTGACGTAAGGGAAGTGACTGTTGTATTCTGAAGCGGGAGATGGAGTAGGAGGGAGGTCACGCTGGTGGAGGGAGGGACGGAGGGAGGGAGGGAGGGGGGTTGATGGAGAGAGAGAAGGGTATTGGAGGGAGGGAGGTTGTTGGAGGGAGAGAAGGATATTGGAGGGATGATGAGTTGGTTGAGAGAGGAGCAGTGCTATGTGGCCGTCTGGGAGGGAGAAGGTACAAGCAATGCACAAGGGGTGACTTTATGTTTATTTATGTGTTTGTGTGTTTATGTATACGAGGAAACACAGCGTGGATGAGTGTGCACAGATCTGGGGGGGGCGTGGCAGGGCGTGTGAGGGCGTGTACTGCCAGCTGAGGGAGTTTTACCATCATTCATGTTAGGATTCATGTACTGTATTCAATTTCCATATTAGTGCATTTCTGAGATGCTGTATGAGGCATCAGTCACTATATACATTCGAGAGCCTTGTCTACACACACTTCCTCGTATCATCAGTGTGTGTGTGTGTGTGTGTGTGTGTGTGTGTGTGTGTGTGTGTGTGTGACTCTTAATTGTGTTAGTAAAGGAGAAACTCGATAACACATACAAGAAAATCACAAAAAAATATTTATTCCCTTTACAAATCATCATTATACACAATAGTTCATTAATCTCTATACAAACTGAGATCGAGTTCACGTACTGTACACTTGGTTCTCAGAATCTCTTAAGTCAAAATTTTCTTCCATTGGCAATACGAGAAACACATCTAACTTCTCCGTTCAAAATACAACACAAGGATTAAACACAAAAAAATAATGCCTTCGTAATTGCACCGAGATGTGGAAGGTTAGGTTAGGTCAGATTAGGCTAGGTCATATTAGGTTAGGTTAGATTACGTTATTATGGAAAGCCATAGGAGCGACTGTGAGGAATGTATATGGGTGGTTGATATATGTCAGATGAGTCAGTGGAGATGTGTTCCGCTTCCTCTGACAGACCAAGGAAGTAGCGGGGTCGGGGAGGGTTGTACGCTGGAGCTTCGTCTGATTCCTCTGTTTCTGGGGCGGAGTATGAAGGGGGTGGTGGGAGGTACACGTTCACCTCACGAGACTCCTCTGGCTCGGGGTTTGAGTATGATGGGCGGGTGGGTTGTATGTTGGGCAGGGGTGGGTTGTATGTTGGGCGGGGTATGTTGGGGCGGGGTGGGTTGTATGTTGGGCAGGGTGGGTTTATATGTGGGACGGGGTGTGGTGTATGTGGGACGGGGTGTGGTGTATGTTGGGCGAGGTGGGTTGTATGAGGGACGGGGTGTGGTGTATGTTGGGCGGGGTGGGTTGTATGCGGGGAGGGGTGGGTTGTATGTCGGGCGGGGTGGGTTGTATGTTGGTCTTGGTGGGTTGTATGATGGGCGAGGTGGAACATACACAGGAGTCTCATAAGATTCATCGGACTCTGGAGAGGAGTACTGGGGCCTGGGTGGGGTGTAGGACCTGACTTCATCAGAGTCAGGGTAGCGAGCCTCTCCGTCGTACTTGACATCAGCCACGTAGCCTGAGTCACCTTCCACGTAGTAAGTCACAGTTTGCAGACGACCGTCGGGAAGCTGCACGTAATACGACCCCTGAGTGTTGTCACCGTCGCGGGTCTCCTGGTGACCGAAGTCGTTGCCTGAGAGGTCGTCCTTCACGGCGTAGCTGAAGTCGTACTTGGCTTCACTTGATTCCACAGAGTACTCGTCCGAATCCTTAAAGAGAAATTATTATTTTAGTGTGAGGACCTTATTTACCCCATAGCATCCTGTCTCAAGAATTTCAAAGTTCACGGAGAATATTGCGGCTTATTTCTTTCAGTTCAGTAAAAATCAAAAGAAATTTGTATGTGACAGATCCAGAAGTACCTGCGGGGCGCTGTAAGTGTAGGAGGGTAGCTTGTCTGCCGCGGCCACCACCACAACACCCAACAGTACCACAACCTAGGAACAGAAATCATAACATAAGGTATTGCTGACCCAGAGAAAGAGCTTTGAGTATTAAGTAGTAAATCATGATAATATAATCGAAATATGACAGTTAAGATGTGTGAGCCACTTCACCCTAGCGTTCATAGTTATGTCTCAGAGGAAGCTGTGCTTCTGAACACCCAACGTCGTGCTTATATATACTCGACCCGAATGACGTCACGAAACAACTTTTTATTCCAGTTCGTCAAGAGTTTCAGAACACGACTCACGAAGTCTCACACTCACTTCCTCTAAACACAATTTCTTGCTTCGAAAAATTATATTTACCTCAAGAATAATACGTTTCGTATCCCCTTAAAACTAATAAATTTATCAAGTGAACAAAAGTGAAAGAGATAGACGTGTTTACTGGGTGAGTGAGTGAGGGCCAGGCAGCAGGGTGGTAGCATAGCATGATAACAAAGCGTGGACACAGGTCAAGACCACCGGTTGACCTGGCCGGGGTCACTGCAGTAAAGACTGGGCGGGGCACCACACGCGTGACCAAACTTCCCTGGCTGTATTTCCTGCATCACCTTGTGCCTGTAATGGAGTGTTGACGCGAGGTTTGGACTTGTCATCTGGTGCTTGTCTTTCATCTCTGGCCCACTTCCTACACCCTTAGATTATGTCTAGCTCTACACACATAACAAAGAAATGATTCATCCTACACATAACAAAGAACTAATTCTACCTCGGACAAAATCCTCCTCCTATATTTCTCATTAATTTCACTCATTGGAAAATAATATTACAAATACAGGTAAAAGTACAGGTACAAAAATTCCCCCCCCCCCCTAAAAAAAAACCTAACACAACTTTGGGCCAATGCTATTTTGATAATCGTAAATACAAAATACAGGTAACAGGTTAAAACTACAGGTAGATATGCCAGAATAACAAGTCAACAAGATCAGTGTACACATTGTCAGAACACACGATCTTATACACAAAGAAACAAACGGATCATATTTATTTCAATTACATCAGAACAAATGTGATGGATAAAGGTGAATCACACAGGGGGATAAAGCCAGTTCATATAGTGTGGATAAAGTGTCGAATTGAAACTTAGGTTAGGTTGGATATCCATTTTGAAGCTGAGTCGACTTGGGGATTCGAAAAGACGATCTCTAAGCCCGGAGGTGAGTGTTGTATCCATTTGACCACTAGTATTTAAATGCGACTCACAGTTGATCATAACTACTTGGACTAAACTTCGATATACGATGACTTTTTCTTTTAAGTATAATGTCATCGTGCTCAAGGAATTTGTCATTGTATTCAAAGGGCCAAGACACCGTACTCAAGATCACTACCTACGGTTTTCAAAGAGTCAAGCCATTGTACTCAAGAGGACCAGATATCGTCGTATTCAGGAGGTTAAAACATAGTACTCAAGGAAACTGGTTATCATATTCAAAGAACCAAGACAACAACAACAACAACAACAACAACAACAACAACAATAATAATAATGATAATAATAATAATAAAACAGTAATAATACTAAAAATAATAACAACAATAATAAACATCTAAATAACTCAATAAACCCAGACAGGATACCAGCAGCATGAACTAACCTTCCTGCCGTCTTAATGATCTTCAGGAAATTTTCAAAACAGTTGACTTTAAGGAGCCTTAGAGAGAGAAAGGTCACTCACATCACGCCCAGGGAAATAAACCCCTTGTTATATATCTTTATGAGTGTTGGTTTATGTATGACTTACTCCATCTTAGTCCATTCGGCTTATGATTAAGTTGTAAGTGTGAAAGTCGACCTGTTTTATTAGTAGTGATAATAAGGATAGAATGTTAATTGAGAATGGAATTTAACATTATGCCTTTGTTAATTATGTTTTAAGGCGATAATAATAATAATAATAATAATAATAATAATAATAATAATAATATACCGCTTTGAAAACACGATAATATCAAAATGAACAAAACGAAAAAGAAATCCATTGCTAAAATATACAAATAAACAATTACCTCCATGATTGAAGGACAAGGCATAAAAAATAGATAACAATTATATAGGAACATGATAAAACGATGTGGAAGAACTATTAAGAATCTCACGAGTCAACAATTACGGACCTAAATGGATCAGAAACTCGGTACCAACAGTTTGGGTACTTCCCTGTGGCGTCCTTCAAGGGGGAACACCTGCACCCATGATCATTCGTTTTATGTTCTTTTCAACGGGAATTATTAAGACGTATATAACTGATCAATTAACTTAATCCAGGTTATGATGTTAAATACCAAGACGTATATAACTGATCAATTAACTTAATCCATATAGAGAAATTTTTAAAGGCTCGGATGTTAATTTCATCAACTTTCTGGAGATCTGAGAATGTATTTAACTTAGCCACTTAACACAAAACGAAGTTGGTTTCTCAAAGGATCGAAGATATGTTATGAGAAGTTAAACTCTCAAGTGTCAAAATGTTTAATTTTCTACGCAAGTGAGGTTCAGAATTCATATATAAGTACAGTAGATTAGGTGAGGTGGTTAGATACGAGTGCACATCTTAGGAGGAGAACTGATATGAAAATACACACTGATGTCATAGAACCTTGGGAACCCGGCGCCTCCGCCTTACAAGTGGCCTCTGGACAGTTAATTAATATGATTCACTACACTAAAGGAGAGGAAATAGTGTTGGTTTTCATGTAATTGTCGTTAAGATCATTGTTTGTATTCCTGAGAAAAGATAGAAAGAATAAATAAGTCATTAAGTAAGACAATATTGACCAATACTCTCTCTCTCTCTCTCTCTCTCTCTCTCTCTCTCTCTCTCTCTCTCTCTCTCTCTCTCTCTCTCTCTCCAAAAAGCCTTCAGCAAGACCTCAGCAGCAATAACCAGCAGATGACCTTACTCAGCGACCATTGTCTGAAGAAGACTGAACGGCCAATATCTTGATCAAAACTAAGAGGTTTAGTTCATGCCTCACTGGCGTTACGGATCGACTTTTTTACATGGAGTTCCTTGACGTATAAAAACAGACAATAATATTTCGCACGAGTTGTTTATTATCAAAGCAAAGAATACCATTGTAGGTGCTGTCTTAGGGACGATGACTAACACCAGAGGGCTCTTCTAGTCCCTCTGATATTGTCCCGTCATCATCATCAGTGTTGTATTGCTGTCTCTTGAGAGTTGGACCGTTCGGGTCTTCCTGTGTTTTGGTGTTCAGTTTTTCTCTCTTACATTTTTCAACATATTCCCTATCTTATATTTTATCTCCTCTAATATTCTATTATTCTCCTTACTAAATTTTTTATATACTATTAATTATTACTCTTAAGTGTTTATGTAAATATTGAATAATTTTGTGTGTGTTTTATTTACAGTATTCTTACACCCTCTCACCTCGTCTCCATCACCATCATCGTTCTTCACTTCCGCAAGGTAACATTACCTCGTTACCTCACATTCTGTAACGCTTGGCTAGTTTCCTCATTCCTGACCTTTCATATACTTGTTATTTCTCTGTGGTAATTTGCATGGCATGATCTAAGGTGGCCATTAAAACTCTCACCTTTATCTCCCAATGTGTAATGGATCGTAGATAAGTCACCTGTAATTAACCTGTGATGTCACTTGTTGTCTATATAACGTTTCCATTTTCAAGTATGACACAGTTTATTTCTTGTTCAATAATACACGTCATACTAATACACATACAGCCATGATGCGGACTATATACTGGCAGAGGTCAGGGAGTTTACGGAGGATATCGTACCAGGTGAGCGGGAAGTCCAGGGGGATGGCTTCTTACCGAGCTTCTCTCTGTTTGCGGCGAATTTGGGTTCTAAGCTGTAAAAGTGTTCGAGGAACAACGTAGTCAGATGTGGCCTTGTTACAGCCAGTCTTGACAAGGCCATCTGCTGCCTCATTCCCCAAGATACCGACATGACTGGGTATCCATAGGAATGTCACAGGACGGCCTGTAAAGGAGACAGAAAGTAATTCAGACGGGTGTCCATGTGAGTCAGGTGAAGGGAGACGAACAGATGGAATGGTTTTATGCACAAGGGTGAGGAGGCCACGAGCCTGCCCACGGTACCGAGGCAGGGTGTAAACAGTATAGCCAGAGAGGTGGAGTGGAGTAACATCGTCTGTGATGGTTTCCTGAAGTAGAGCAACATCTACTTGATGGGAGAGCACAAACTGGGCGAGGTCTGTCCGGCGAGGTCTAAGTCCCTGGATGCCCTATTGTAAGAAGAGGAGGGAACGGCCTCCGGTGTGAGATGAAGAGTCGGTGGGTATCCGGATATTGGAGAGGGAGGAGTGGTAGAGCGAGGGATGGATCCTCCATCTCGGGAGAAGGAAGGAGGCGTGTCACCAGGGCTTGCAAAGTGTGCCCCTGTTGGGTCAGGGTGTCCAGAGTTGTTGTTGCCTCTGTACAGTCGCAATTGTCTCCATAAACGAGGTGAGTTGGGTAGAGAGAAGGTCGATTTGCTTGGAGTGGCGATCCAGACGTAGAGTGATTGTTTCCATAGAACCAACTTGGTGTACCTGTGCAGGAGCTGGAGGTGGCGGCGAGGATTGGCGAGGGCCCGACTGGGCAGGAGGTGGTGGTGGTGACGGAGAGGGACGGTGAGGGTTCAGGTGAGCAAGAGGTGGTGGTGCTGGTGAGAGACAGCGGGGGTCCGGGTGGGCAGGAGGTGGTGGTGACTGTGTGGCAGGGCCGGCAACGACCTTGTTCCAAGAACGGTAGGGAGAGGAAGGGAGGGGAGAAAGGATGGGTGGTAGGGGTGAAATAGGGCGTGGTAGAGGAGAGGAGATTAATGGGAAATCCTTGGTGGATGGAAGAGACGGTGGTGGATAGGAGTGAGGATTGGTTGACAGGGGCTTCGTCAGAGACGAGGGCGGTGGAACAAGGTAAGTTTTCCCCGGGCGAGTGCCAGGACGCTGTGGGCAGTTGGCATTCCAGGTGTGGTGACTGCCATGACAGTTGACACACCGTGGAACAACTGGGATTTTGTTCTGAATTTTCGATTTGCATTCCACTGTCTTCCACTGTGTCGTGAGGACCTGCACAGAAACCGCAGGCGACCATCCTCCTGCACTCCCAGGTGCAGTGTTTCCACGACTGGCAACG